TCCCTCATCCCTGATGCCCTGGGCCTCTTAACATAGGTGCCCTCCTAGAGGATCGGGTGTACTTCTCTTATTTATCACAGGGTATCCAGAACCGTTTCACCGACCCCTCTCCCCAGCCCCATCCCTATCCAGTCGGCGTCCCCCCAACCTACCAATACCATGTGTGCGCCGCCCCATCGGGGCGACGCGCGCGCCGAGACATCTTCTGGTAGAAGCTCCGTGGCGGGCGCTAGGGCATTCGAATGAGGAAAAACCCGAACAGTTCGACGCACCGCGCGGATTTTTTTGATCCGCGCCGTGGCCCTCCTGGCGGCGCCTCCGGCGCCGCCCCTGGCGCGCTCCGCGCGCCGGCGAGGGGGGCGCAGCGCCGATCCAGGAAGTCCTCGCGGGCCTCCCAGAAGCCATGATTATGCCGTGTCGTTTTGCGTCTCCAATCCCCATCCCCATCCAAACCCCCGCCATCTCAGCATCCCAGTTGGGGATCTACCCCTCGAGGCCCGAAGGGAACAGACTATACCCCTGTCCAGGGGGGGCCAATCGGCGAGTGGGGCCCAGGCCACGCCCATGGGGACAGGGGTCGGTTGGACGATGCTCCCCAGGACTTGTTGCTTTCACGCCAGTCGGCTCGGGAGCCTCCGACCGTTTCTGGCGGGGAGGGGGGGCCTTCGGGGGGCAGCCGGAGGGTGCCGTTCGGCCCGCTTGGGGCGGCCTTCGGTGGCCCCCGACGGCTGACGACCATGATGGTGACGATGGCGATGCCGGCGACGACGACGACGACGACGAAGACGACGACGACGGATGTGATGACACTTCGAAGATGCTGGCGGCGACGGCGTCCACGACGACAACCAGCGCAACCATGACGATCACGACCGCGACGATCGCGACGGCGGCGGCGGCGAGGCCGAGGAACCGCTCGCGCGCCCCGGCGCCGCCGGCCCAAGGGGGCCCCTCCGGGGGGGGGAGGGGCCGAGCCTGATTGGCGGGGCGGCGCGTTCTCCTCCTCCTCCTCCTCCTCCTCCTCCTCCTCCTCCTCCTCCTCCTCCTCCTCCTCCTCCTCCTCCTCCCCCCTCCTCCTCCTCCCTCCTCCCTCCCCTCCCTCCTCCCTCCCTCCTCCTCCCTCCTCCCTCCTCCCTCCTCCTCCTCCCTCCTCCCTCCTCCCTCCTCCCTGCTCCCTCCTCCCTCCTCGCTCCTCCCTCCTCCCGCCACCACTTGGAGAGAGAGGGCGCCTGGTGGTGTTGCTGGGAGCGTGAGTGCTGGGCCCTGCCCGCGGACCTGGTACGGTTCGCGAAGTGAGAGCGCAGGCCAATTCAGTATGCTAGAGCAGGAGCGGTGTGCACCCAGCGTGGCGGGGCAGGATCGGGTGGGTCGTCGTCGTCGCGGAGCGTGGGTGGGAAGGCTCTTCATTGCACGCACACCCTCTTGTACGTTGGTTGTATGGACCTCACCGTGTGTAGCCGTTGCGGGTGCTATGCCAGCATTTATGCAGACAATCTGGCCGATCTGGCCGACGACTGCCTTCCCAAGGGCAAGCCCCGGACGGCTAAGGGCAAGCAGAACCTAGCTCGAATCGAGAAGGGTTTGTGGCCGCATCCCAAAGTGATGCCCAAGAGAGTGCGTGAAGCGCAGCGCAGCGCGCTATTGCCGCAGCCACTAGCAGAGTAGCATAGCTCAGTTTGTTCGTACGCAGGTACGTCTCAGGTAATCCTTCCAGGTGATCCTCTCTCCTCCTCCTCCTCCTCCGTCAGTCCGTCCGTCCGTCCGTCCGTCCGTCCGTCCGTCCGTCCGTCCGTCCGTCCGTCCGTCCGTCCCTCCTCCTCCTCCTCCTCCTCCTCCTCCTCCTCCTCCCCCTCCTCCTCCTCCTCCTCCTCCTCCTCCTCCTCCTCCTCTTCCTCCTCTCCGCTCCTCGTCCCTCTTGCTCCCTCCACCGCCTCCTCCACATCTTTCATCCCCTGCTGCTCTCTCGTTCTCACTATTCCTCGGCATCAGCTGCTCGTTGGCCTCGCGGGCGCCAGGCTCGAGCGGCTCCGAAACCATTTCGCGGATGGTCATCTTGGTCCTCTTCGTCATCGTAGTCCTCCTCCTCCTCCTCCTCCTCCTCCTCCTCCTCCTCCTCCTCCCCCTTATCTCAGGGCGCGCTGGCTCTTCATCTCCTCCCTCTCCTGATCCTCCGCATGCTTTACCTCGTCATCTCTCCCTTCCGTTCCCTCCTCCCTCCCCCAACCCACCCCTCTCTCCCTGCCTCCCTCCCTCCAACCAGCGCAGGTTCCAAAACAGTGTGGCCAGCGCGGTGGTCCTCTCACCTTCTTCCCCTCCCCCTCCTCTCAGGACGCGACGGCGTTGTCTCCTCTCCTCCTCCCGATCCTCCGCCTGTCCCTCCTCTTCGTTCCCTCCTCTCTGCTCCCTGCTCTCTTCTCCTTTTATTATCCTTGCCTCTCGCCATCTACCGTGCAGCGTGGCCAGCATATGATCCTCTCTCCGCGCTCCCTGCCGCCCTTCCGTGTTCACTCCTCTCTACACTTACAGATTCGTTACTAGTTGCGTCTCCTCGCTCCCCTGATTCTGTCCGGAAGATATTCGGCCCTTCTCGAGTATGTTTTCTACATTGGATGTCATGGGTTGCCGTTGTCGTTGCTGTTGTTGATGTTGTTATTGTTGTTGATGTGGTTATTGGTGTTGTTGTCGTTGTTGTTGTTGTTGCTGTTGGTTGTGGTGGTGTTGTTGGTGTTGTTATTGCTGCTGTTGTTGTTGTTGTTGGCGCATTATCGTTCTTAAGGAATGAGTCTTGTTATTCCCCCACGGTAATCATTGCATTTTGGCCGTGAAAGTGCATCGCCCAGGGCTCGCACCCTGTTTTGTACCAGGGAACGTGAGGGGTCACCAAACTGCGTCCTTGGGCCCCGAACTAAAACAGCAACAACAATAACAACGGCTCCCGCCTGATGCGTCCTCACAATGTATTCCCGATCGCGCTCTCGCGCGGGACATCTTCACAGTTTATACAGGAATCGTGCTCTCGCGTTGGACTTCCTCACAATTTATTCAGACGGCGCGGTCGACGCTCAGGAAAAACGCTCTCGCTGCGGATGTCCGCACGATTTATGTGCGAATCGCGCTATCGCTCGAGACGTCCTCGCGATTCATGCAGGACGCACGTATCAGCAACCCGCCTGCCCCTTGTCCTTTTCCTTCCATCCGTCCTCTCTTCCCCTGCTTTAGGGGCTGCAGGAAATACACGTTTTAGGTAAGAGAGGTATACCCGTAAAGGAGTACGACCCAAGCCGAAGAGAGCGGGTATCAGCGGGTGTGGGCATACACGTTGAATGGCACGCGAGCAGATAAGAGCGAACAGTCTTCGAATGAGTGGTATGGATGTTGTTGTTGGCGGTGTTGACGTTGTTGTCGTCGTTGTTGTTGGTGGTGTTGTTGTCGTTGATGTTGCTGTTGTCGTTGTTGCTGGTGGTGTTGGTGTTGCTGTTGGCATTGCGATTGTGGTAATGTATGTAGCCGTTGTTGTTGGTGTTGTTGTTGATTGGTGGTTTCTTTACCATATGATTGCGAAGGCCTTACGGCCAGTGCCGCCGACCCTGGAGACCTCGGCCCTCGACGGAAATGGGAGGGCGAGGGCGGGCCGGGAGGGCGGTATTCTGACCCCAGACCACCCCCTTGGACCCCCCCGGGACCAACCCCCGGGACCCCCCCCCCGCCCCCTCTCCGGGGAAGAGAATCAAAGGAAAGGGGGTTCCCTTCAACTCAATGACGACGTTGCTTCATTTCGCTGTGGATGGGCTGGTGTATTTCGCTTTGGCTGGCGTGCTTGAGGACGAGGGCCCAAGGAAAGAGGGGGAGCGGCGACGGACTCAGGGGAAGGAGGGAGCGTGATGGCGGCGGCGACGCGACGGCGATGGCGACGGAACAGCCCCTGACACACGCCGACAGGGTCGGCGGATTTCTCGGTGTTTCAACATGGTGCTCCCGCTGCAGCGTGGGCCTCATTTTCGGATCGGCGCTGCTTTGCCGCCGTTCAGACTGGCGCTCTCGCCCAAGCGCGGGCCATGTCTGGATCCGAATCATTTTGCATCGTTGTCGCCCCCTCACATGTTCCCTCCCCCGCACGTCGCTGGTCCTCCTGCTCCTCCCGCTCCTGCCACTCCACCTTCTGCTGCTGTTGTTCGTCCTCGTCCTCCTCCTTCCTCATCCTGTTTTGCCTCCAGCTCTGCCTCAAATCTGTGCAGCTCTCGTTTCTCCGATTGCGCACACAGCTATCGGGGTCCTCGTTGGAGCTCCAGGTCCACTGTGACACGTGTCGGCGGATAGCGAACAGACAGCGCGATGGGAAGGGACGGGTGGGAGGGGTAGGATGTCAGATATGGCCCGAGCGCGCCTATCGATGATCGAGGAAGCAAACGGCAGAAACAAATACTTCTGGAGCTCCGCGCGGATCTCTTGGATCGGCATTGCGGCCCCCTGGCGGCGCCTCCAGCGCCGCCACAGGCGCACGGAGCGCGCCAGGGAGGGGGGTCTGGCGCCGATCCGAGGAATCCGCGCGGAGTTGCGGTCGTTGACGAGTATGCCGCTTTGGTCGGACGGGGCATCCGTTTCATAGCGTTCTTGAAAGCGAGAAGGCCGCGGCGCCACATCCTCCAGAACCGCCAGATCTCAGAGATCCCCGATGTGTCCTCACCCGAAGTTCTCCTTGCCCTGGCTCCGTCTTCTTTGGGCTCCTCTGGCCTAGCCTGGTTCCCTCCACTTCCCTTCCTCCCTCGCCAGCCCTGCCCGCCTGCCCTCACTGAAGGGGCCCAGGGTCACACACACACACACACACGAATCAGAATTAGGCACGAAGCCCAGCACTCCCCATATTCTCCCCTGTTCTCTGGAGGCCGGCTTCCCCCCCACTCCGCATGTCTGCCCATGCCTTCCTGGGAGGCGGCGATGCTGTGTGCCTGTTTTCTGTTTGTCCCCCCCCCCCTCCCTCGCCTGCCTGCCCGCCCGCCCGCCCTCCCTCGCTCCCTCGCCCCTGCCCGCCCTCCCCCGGGCCCCCGCGGAGCTCCCCTCCGCGGCGGAGCCGCCGGCCGAGCCCCATGGCGCGGAGGGTCACCAGCGGGAGGTCGCCGCCCCGCTCGGGAGCCGGGGCCGGAGAGAGGGAGGTCCGAGCCCCGAGGGCGGTGCTTGCCGCTTCTGCGAGCCACCGGGGCCCGACACGGCCCCCGCGGAGCCCGGAATCGTCAGAAGCGGCGTCCCTGGTTCTTTCAGGGCTCCCTCACGCCAGGGGCGTGGGAGCGTGTTTCGTCTTGCCCCCTTCCACTCCCCCCCCCCCCTCCGCGCGGGCTGCCGGCCTGCCCTAGCGGTCTACTGCAATCCCACCAGTCCTCTGGGAGGGAGGGAGCATCGGGGGGGGGGAGGAGTCCAGGCAGAGGAGGCCGAGGGAGGAGCCGCAGCAGGAGGCGGGGCGGGGAGGGAAGGGGGGGGGAGCACAGCAGGGAGGGGGCTTCGCACTGTGCTGCGTGCCGTGTGCCATGGTGCGTCACGCTGCGCTGGGGCAGTGGCGCTATCCCCCCCTGGGCGGCATGGACACCTGAGAACACTTGCCAGAGGGGCTGCGTACCAAAAACTTGCACCACGCAGTTTGCAACGCATGGCTCTGCGTCTCGGAGGATGGGGTAGGAGCAGGGAAACGGGGCAAGAGGTGGAGGAGGATGAAGATGAGGAAGATGGGGGAGGAGGAGGACCTCATCCCCCCCGCAGCCCGCGCCGAGGAGGAAGGATGATGGATGAGGGTGGGATTCTGCCCATCAGACTAACTCATCGCTTGCACAGGTCGCCATGCGGAGCTGCCCGTGCGACCGTGAAGATGAGTTCGTTGAACTACTGTTGCCATCTGATGTCCCGCACGACCACAGTATACGTAGTGGCGGAGCAGTACACGTCTGAACGAATGCGTCGTGCACAAAGGATCATTGGAAGTTTGTGTTGCACAGTACTTCAAGAACACGGTGTCCAACATGCCAGTTGTGGGGACGGTGGTGCTCAAGAGCCGTGGCCCACTGAACAGACTCATGTACTTGGGCGGGTAAGAGACGGCGAAATCGACGAAGGAGTCGCGAAATCCTTCCGAAGGATGTCACGAAAGAGGACTCGCACGGGGAATTCTGTGAAGTTCCCGAAGATCATGAGGAAACTCCACGCCCACCATCACACGCTCGCCTCCCGCGATCGGCGCTTGGGAAGCGTTGCGGCTCATCGCCTCGTTCCGCGCCACCGCCGCGCCTGCGTGCATCTTGAAGATCGGCTGTGACGGGCGCGGCCGCTGACCGAACGCCCGAGCGCCCCCGCAGACCAGCCGGAGCGCTCGTACAGGCAGGCCACCAGCCGGGCGCCCGGAAGAGAACGCCACGGCGGCCGCCAGGGGGGGGGCGCCCGAAGCTGGCGCCCAGCGGCGCAGGGCGCGCTGGGACAGGCGGCGAGCTTGCTCCTCGAGCCTACGGGTGTGGCAAGCTCCCCCCCCCCCCAGGGCAGGTTGTGAGCTTGATCCAGAATTGTGACGGGGCCCGTCGTCAGTGGAGGAGAAAAGAAAGAGGTGTCCCCCTCTGGGGGCTCCTCCTCCTTCCTCCTTCTCTCTCTCCGTCTCTTGCTGTTGCTCCTCGTCCTCCTCCTCCTCCTCCTCCTCGTCCTCCTCCTCCTCCTCTTCCTCCTCCTCCTCCTCCCCCTCCTCCTCCTCCTCCTCCTCCTCCTCCTCCTCCTCCTCCTCCTCCTCACGGGGGCCCAGGGAGAAGGATGACGATGAGGGGGAGGCGGATGAGACATAGCTGTCACCATGACGGTGCATAGACAACGGACCAGAGCTCTAGGGACGAGGGGGAGCCCAGAGGAGAGGCGGGAAGATTGGGAAGATCAGGGGCAGACGGATGAAGAGGATGGAGGGTGGAAGGATGAGGAGGAGGAGGAGGAGGAGGAGGAGAGGGGAGGGGAGGGGAGGAGGAGGAGGAGGAGGAGGGCGAGGAGGAGAGGGAGGAGGAGGAGAAGGAGGAGAAGGAGGAGGAGGAGGAGGAGGAGAAGACGACGAGGACGACGCCAGACCGACGGCCGTGGACCAACGACCGGCGATGACGACAACGACGGTGGCAGCGGCGGCGGTCGCGCTCAACGACCCTCTGACGGCGGCGGTGGCTATCCCCCAGCAGGTTCGCGGACCAATGGCACACGCACACCGGCAGGAAAGCGCGCCCGGCACCCAGCGGCCGCCTAGATCCCTGGCGACGTCGGCGGCGGCGACGGCGACGGCGGCCACCCGGGCGGCGTCGATGACGATGGCGGCGGTGATGGCGACGGCGGCGAGGCGGCGGCGACGGCGGCGGCGGCGACGGCGATGGCGGCGACGTCGACGGCGATGGTGACGCGGCGATGGTGGCGGCAGCGACGGCGGTGACTTCGACGACGGCGGCGACGGCAGCGACGACCGCGGCGACGCTGTCAACGACGTCGGCGACGGCGGCGACAACAACGGCGACGGCGGCGGCGATCGGTAGCAGAGGCGCCCGCCTGGGGGGAAGCTGCTGCGTTGGGGGTGCCGCACGGCGCCCGTCGCTCCGGGGCGGCCGCGTCTTTGTCCTGCTGCTCCTCGCCGTTTCGCCCCTCCTGCGTCTCCTAGTGATCCTTGTCGTGCTTCTCCTCGGCTCGGCTCGGCCCTCCAGGCATGAGTGTGTGCGCTGCCTGTCCTGCAGCACGGAAGGAGGGGAAGATCGGGAGAGGTCATGGGAAGGATCATGGCCACGGCCAGCCTCAGTTGGCACGCCCTAGCTGGCGGCTTGGCCCTAGCCCGCGTGCTCCTCCCTCTCGTGATCCTCCTCATCCTCGTGAGACTCGGGCGCAAGGCCTCCTCCTCCCCGTGATTTGCCGACTCCCTTCCTGCATTACCACCACCTCCTCCCCCTCACCATCGCCGCCGCCGCCGTCGCCTTCGTCGTCACCGCCGTCGCGCTTGCCGTCGTCATCGCCGTTGCCGTCGTCGTAGTCGTCGTCGACCTCGACCTCGGCCTCCTCCTCCTCCTCCTCCTCCTGCTCTTGCTCCTCTTCCTCGTCATCATTCTCATTATCCGCTTGCACCATCCACTGGAGGAGGCGGAGAACCTACCGATCGGGGGCGGAGATGGACGAGGGGTCATCATCCCCCCTGTCATCCAGAAGCGCTGCGTTTCGTTTCTCTCCGTCGTACCCCTCTCCCTCCTTCCCCGCATCTCGCCACTCCTCTCCCCCTCTCCACTCCTGCCACATCTGCAAATGCACCATATGAATACTACTCTCTCTCTCTCTCTCTTTTTCTATATTTCTATCTCTCTCTATTTCCCGACGACGTGTTGAGAGCATCCCGCACTCTAAGTGCATTACTGGTTACACGCAGGATTGCAAATGCTGATGGTTCTCCATGTGTTTGTCCAGTCCGAGCGCTCCTGGTCCTTCAAGATGGTGTTCCCGCTGCAGCATTGACTCCATGATTGCATTCCCGCCTCAGTTTTGGCCTCATGTCCGCGCTTCTGGTCCTTCCCAATGGTGCTCCCGCTGTCGGGTGGGGCTCATTCTGCGTTTTCGGTCATTCTATATATATATATATATACATACTCCTCCTCCTCCTCCTCCTCCTCCTCCTCCTCCTCGTCCTCCTCCTCCTCCTCCTCCTCCTCCTCCTCCTCCTCCTCCTCCTCCTCCTCCTCCTATATATATAGTGCTCCCACTCGGGCGCTGGCCTGATTTCCGTGTCTCTAGTCCTTCAAAACGGTGCCCCCGCTACAGCCGTGGTCTCATTTCCACATTGACTGTCCTTTAAATAAACGAGCATTCCGTGAATTGCTTCCGTTGGCTTCAGAGCCTCACTCGGAAGCCGCGCCGCATTCCCGATGCTCCTTGGAACCTCTTTCTGAAAAAATTGTCCTCTCGACGGGGCGCAGGCCGTACTGTTGCATCAGCACGTGGTTTGAGCCTTCCGGCCCTGGTCCTTGCGTGCTAGTGTTTCAATCTGGGACTCTCGCTGCAACGTTGGCCCCACATCACAGTTGGTGTGGCGCCTCCCTCCAACGGACCGGCGCTCTTGCTGCAGCGCTGCCAATATAGTTGAGTCGGCGTCGGCTCACGTTTCCCCGCCCTGGTTCCTACGCAATGCCACACCATGCAACGCCATGCTGTGCCCTGCCGTCCTTTCACACGCCAAGCTATGTCATGCCATGTCATGCCATGCTGCGCGGCGCTTGCCCTCTCGGGGGCAACGCCTTCTTCGACGCCCGACTGTGGGAAGAAGGAGGTGCCATATGTAATGGTTGCCCTCCTCCCTCTTCAGTCCGCCCTCCTCACTCCTCATCCCCATCCTCGTCCTCCTCCTCCCATCCTCCTCCGCCATCGTTCTCATGCTCCCTATCCTGTCCTGCTTCCGCTCTCATCCCCCCTCACCATTTTCCTTCTCTGCCTCCCGATCATCTGCCTCCATTGCGTGCCCTTCCTCATCGTATGCATCGCTCTTTCACCACCCATCCCTCTGTTCTCCCTTGCCCTTTTCAGATCGCTCCCCGCCCCCATTCCCCTACCTCACTCCCGAACCCCCCCTATCTGCTCGACCTCCTCCTTCCTTTCTCCATACCCCCTGCTCTCTCTCTCTCTCTCTCTCCTCATACTATCTTTCTTTCAGCTCCCCTCCCTGACCCGTCTCCCCTCATCCTGCTCCCTCTCCCTCTCCGTCTCCGCCTCACTCTCCCCTGCCCGCTCCTCCTGCACCAATGCCTCCTCGTTCCCCTCCTCGATCCTACCACCCTCGCATCCCGTCTCCCTCCTCCCTCCTCCTCGTCACTCCCTTCCTTCCTCTCCTATGCTTCTTCCCGTCCCCCCGCTGCTAAGGCGAGGAGGAAGAGAGGAGGCGGCTCCGACAGACCGTGGCGAAGGCCAAGTACAACATGTCCAAGGGTCTGGAGGCGAGCCGGATCGAAGACGCGCTAGCCGCGGCAGAGGAGATGATGCGTTGCGGGGAGATGCCCGCCAACGAGCTGCTCTACAGGACGGCGGGGAGAAGGAGGGGGAGGAGGAGGACGGGGGAGCCATTTGGCTTTTGTTCTTTACACCTGTCTCTCACGCCTACTATTTGTTTTTGCCTACCGTTTCCGTTTTCCTCGCGTACTTGGTTGCACAGTCTGCCTAGGTTGGCCTTGCAACTCACATTTGTTCGATGCACAGAGTTGATGCCTATGTTGGCCAAACAAGACGGGGGAAGGTGCGAGTAAGGCGCAGCAGTTGCACGGGTGTAGCAGCACTGCTTTGTCCGTCGCGCATGATTGTCCACCGCGGCACCAAGTCACACGGGGAGTTCTAACAGGACATGAGGCGGGAGAAGAGGTGGAAGAGATGCGCAGGAGGATGAAGAGGCCGGAGGGATGAGGAGGAGGAGGAGGAGGAAAAGAACGAGGAGGAGGAATAATAGGACGAGAAGGATCAAGAGGGAGAGAGTAGAAGCGAGGGGGAGGGATTCAGGTGGAGGAAGATTGAGAAGGAGCATGGGGAGGAGGAGGAGGATGTTGGGAAGGAGGGGGAGGAGGACTGCGGGCGATAGGAAACGGGAAGGGGGATTTTGGTGATTGTCAGTGGTGATGCCGATGATGACGATGATGATTGTGACCATGAAAATTGAAATCTGTACGGAATCCATGACCATGATCATGATCGTGCATCTCAGTTGGAGGAATTGTGCATGACGAAATGTGAAGTCTGGCTACCGGGGCAACAGAGTACGCACGCTCGGAGGCGACTGTTCGGCAGGAGGTTGCCACAGGTAATTCGAGCGGCGTTGAAGGCACAACGTGCGTTGACGATGGGAGTAGATGCTGCCGTCACATGTGATGCCCTGGCCGTCTTCAATGTGTCCCGGATCATTCGAGGTCGTCGTTGGGCGATGTTTGGGGGATGAAGGAGTCGAACGAGGAGGTAAAGCAATGAGGAGGAGGAGAATATGAGAAGGAGGCGCATCGTTGTGCACGGGTGCGATTCCGAACAACACGATGGTGATGAGGTTGAGCAGGCGGTGGAGGAGGTGGAAGAGGATGAAGAGGACGATTGTCATATGAGTATCGCACAGACGGGTTCGATTGCGCCGACATTCGCGCTTAAGTTGCCCGCGTAAGGTCGTGTGGAAGCGCGCTCTTCTCCATTGTGCCTTGCCGTGCTGGCGGCCCGCGAAAGCCACCGCGTAAGGTCTCTGTGTCATCTCGCGTAAGACCCGTCTTTGATCGCCGCTCATGTGTGAAACTGTTCGTTCCCACTTCTTGCGGAGCTCCCATGGAGCAGGTGTAGGAAGTCCCGAGGCTGTGTCAGCTTCCTGTGGAGCAATGTGACAAGTGTGTTGCCCCCACTTCTTGCGGAGCTCTCATGGATCATGTGTGGGAAGTCCCGAGGCTGTGTTAGTTTCCTGTGGAGCAGTCTTGGGGTCCCCCGAGGCCCTCTTGGGACGTCTTGGGTTGTTGTGGTGCTCTCGTTGGCCAGAATGGGACCCCCTCGGCCGTCTGGGGCGTCTCGTGGTTCTGTCGTGGAGTCGTCGTGGGGCTCGGAAGCCCGGGGGCGCGGACCCGCTCCTCTCTTACCTGGGAGCACCGTTTCGGGAGAGCGGGTCCACTGTTTGTTGTTCTGCGTTGCGAGGTCTCGGAGCCTCGGGAGCGCGGACCCGCAGCTGCTCTGAAAAGATCATGGCCTTGGGAGCGCGGAGCCGTTTTCTGCCTTTGGAAGGGGGGATGCGTGAGGGTTGCCCAGTCCTCCGCCTTACCTTGATGGGTTGCCGTCTCGGGTGGCTTCGGCCCGCTGCCAATCGCACAGTATTTTACAACAACTCTTTGTCCTAGAGGATTGCGCGCATCCGTCGCCCCTGGGCTCTCGAGGTTGAGCTCCCGCGGGCTGTTGCCCTGTGGGCAGCTCGACCCTAGTTGCTTGTTCATCGTTCTCTCGTGGGCTCGCCAGGAGCCTTGCTGTGATTGTGACCGTCCCGTCCGTCTGCCTCTTCCTTCCCGTTCGTGCAGTATTGTCTTGATCTCCCCCTGTGTCTGTCTCCGTCCCTGCTTACACCCCGCGTGCATGTTTTGTGAAACTGGCTGGTTGGGACTAGGGAAATTGTCCAACAGCGTTGCGCTCCGCTGGCTCATACAACACAGATTTGCAGATGATCGCCATTTGCTCTGAATGTTGAGCTTGTTTTTTGGACGATCGTATGTCGTGATCGACCTTGCCCTGGGGAATCATTTACGTACGGCAACACTCAAACGAGTAGCCATCTGCAATCACCTCACTGTGACATGCAAGCTCCAGTTCCAGCGAGTCACAAGAGCCAAACTCGAAGGTGTCCTGGCCCAGGTCTCCTGAAGTGCGGATAATAGTGGTGGCGGTGGTGGTGCGGAGGAGAAGGCTGCCCAGGCCTCTGGAATTGTGGAGGAGGGAGAGGAGAATGAGGAGAAGGAGGGGTTGCGCACGGACAGCCCCTGGAGGCCCCCTTTCAAGAACAGTTCGGTGTGGTCTCAGCACCCAGCGCCGCTTCTTACGATGCCCCCTGCCCAGCCTGCAGCTTTGTGCGCAGTGGGGCTGGGGCGCCCAGACATCCGACGTCGTGTTTTTTCGCGACGCTGCTCCCCAGAGGTCATGACCATCCTCTCCCTCCGCCTCCTCCTCCTCCTCCTGCTCCTCCTCCTCCTCCTCCTCCTCCTCCTCCTCCTCCTCCTCTCTCCATCCTCTCTCCATCCTCCTCCTGGTCCTCTTCCTCTCCCTCCTCCTCCTCCTCCTCCCCCTCCTCCTCCTTCTCCTCCTCCTCCTCCTTCTCCGTCCCGATCTTGCCCCCCCCGCCCCGTGTTTTTTTCGCAACGCGGCTCCCGGGGACAGTTTCTCCATGCCTAGCCGGTTTTGTAGCCCTGGGGCTTTGTAGGGCTCCCGCGTAGCCCGAACACCACCAACACTTGCCCGTCGTGTTGACTTCGCGACCGGAGCCCAGCTGCACTGGGAGCCTGCTCGGGGCAGCCGATGCGCAGGCCTCGAGCCCCGCCAGCCCCAAAGGATGCTGTGCATCGCCTGCGAGCTCCCTGGCGTGGAGCGCTTCGCCCGGGTGGTGAACTGCTGTACGAGCGGTGGCCTTTGCATGCAGGCTCTCGAAGAAGCACAAACATCGCACAAGCATGCGGTAAGTTCGCGTCGTGTCGGCTGGCGGCGACCCCACCGCCGGCAGTCTATGTTGGACGCCGCCGGTGACCCAGAATCGGTCGATGTCGAACGATCGGACGTTTCGGAAACGGCCCATTGCTCAAGATTGAACGATCGCCCCGGTGTCTGAAACCGACGCCGAGTTCGGCACGACACGGACTTGCCAGAAGTCCTCGAAGTTCCTCGCGGATTTCTCTTGGATCGGCGCTGCACCTTCAACAGTTTTTGTCGTTGCAGCTTTTGTCGTTTTTGTTTCCTCCAGGCCCTGGAGTGGGCGGGGGTGGTCGGGCGCCTCATGGAGCGCGACGCCCCTCACGCCCAGGTGCGCGTGTGCCTCAACTTCGGGGTGCCCAGGGGCGGGGAGGTCCTGGGGCTGGTCCCGGTCGACGCCGACCGCGAGTCGGACGTCATGAAGGTCTTCGCGGGAGCCGAGCACCTGGACCTGGGCGAGCTCTCGGACGAGAACGACGTCGCGGAGGCCGCCAGGAGACTGGAGAAGAAAGATACAGGGAAGTTGGAACAAAGTGGCCAGGGCCAGCCCTTTTCACTCTTTCCAGCCCTGGTCGGTTTCCTTTCGTGTTTCCAGCCCTGGCAACCAAGTCTCGATTGTTTCGGGTTTGCTCCAGCCCGTGCCAGTGTTTCCAGCCCTGGCCACCTCCACTGTCATTGAACTTCCAGCATCCACTATTTCAGGCTTCTCTGCAAGCATGCCGAGCACATCCTCTCGGAGGTCCAAGGGTCGATGCTTATGCGTTTCTTCTCTGAGGAGAGCGGGGCGCACGGTCGACGAGTGGGCGCGGGTGCCGAAGAAGCTCGTGTTCACAATCGGCGGCGTCGCGTCCGCGCTGGCCGGGGAGTACAAGAGGTGCAGCTTCGTCTCCGGCGACGGGCTGCGGAGCAAGAGGCCCGTCTTCAAGAACAAGCGCAAGGAGTCGGCGGCGAGGGGGGGGGGAGTGAAAAGGAGAAGGCGTTCTCAGAAGGCGTCAGGCCTTCTTAGAAGGCCTCCGACCTTTGAGAGGTTCTCTGTGTCTTCGGGGAAGGCTTAGACAATTTCTCAGAAGGGCGGGGGGACTTCCGAGTCTTCTGAGGAGGCCCACCCCCTCTTAAGTGACTCCCTGCGCTCGCCGCCGAAGGAGAGCACCATCTTGGCGTACTTCTTCGAGCCCTCGGAGCAGGACGCGGCTCCCGGCGAGGAGACGTGGGAGGCCGGCTGGTACCTCGGCGACGAGGTTCGGTTGCGCACAGATCAGGAGGGACAGCACGCACAAGGGATCGTGGACTCCCGTGAACGTGTGGGGAAGCATTGGAAGCGGGGGGAGAAGGCGGAAGCCCATAGAGAACGGAGACATACCAGGGAATCCTGGAAGTTGTGTGTTTCTCTCTCTCTCTCTCTCTCTCTCTCTATATATATATATATATATACGTATATATGTATTAAAATGTGTGTGTGTGGCCCTGGGCCCGCGAGGCCCCGCCCGCCTGTGCCCTGTCTCCCCAATGAGAGCTGTGCGTAGCCCGCCTAGCTTTTATAGGAAAAGAGTTTCGCTCTCGCCCCCGCAGACCAACAAAAAGTGTTTCCGTCGGTGTGTGTCCCCGGGCCCGTCGCCGCAGCGACCTCTGGTCCCGGTGCTGCCCCGCAGGGGGCAGTATACGGGGTGGCCACCGGGCTGCGCGTCCTGGCTCGGGCCTCCCCCCCCCGCGGTTCCCCCCCGGAGGCGGCGGCGCGCGAGGGGGGGCGAGCGAGAAGGCGGAGGCCTGCTCAGAAGGCGCCCGGACTTCTCAGGAGGCCTGCTCAGAGGGCCTGCTCAGAAGGCGAAGGCCTGCTCAGAGGGCGGGGGACTGGACTTCTCAGGAGCCCTCGCGCATTCTGAGAGGCTTGCCGTGTCTTCGGGAGGGCTCAGCAAACCTCTCAGGAGGTCGGGGGACGTCCGAGCCTTCCGAGGAGGCCCGCCCCCTCTGTTGCCCCCCCCCCCTGGGCTCGCCGCCGACAGAGGCCGCGCACCAGAGGAGGGCCCCTGCCCGGGGCCAGGGCCCATGTCGATCCCTTGGCGTCGCTCGGACGTGTGCCTTTCTTCCTCGGCGAGGCCCATTGAGGAGCATCCTGGATCATCTTCGGAAGAACATGCCCACGAGGTCGAAACGTACAGAGCGATGGCAAGACCATTCCGCATCCATTCTGGCCAGCCAAATGCGATTCGACGATCGATTCTTCGGCGATGCGATGCGGCCCGCTGCTTTTGCACGGGGCCTTAGCTCATCCGGGCGCAGCCGATCCGGTTCGATTTCGATCCCGTGCCGATGCAGCCCGATACGATCCGATGCATCGATTCTCTTTTCAAGAGGGGCTAACTAGGACAAGGATAAATCCGTTCCAGAGCGGAGCGTTCCGGAACGCTGCGAAGGTGCCAGTCTTCTTGCAAAGGTGCCAGACTTCAGAGATTCCCGATTCATCTTCACCCGATGTTATCTTCGTCTCCGACTCGGTGCTGACTGACACTCCCACGCGTCCTGCGCGCGGCCGAGAGGTCGGCGGTGGGGGCATCACGTTCGCGTACTGCCCCGCGCGCGGCAACCAGGCCATGGCGGCGCTGGTGCCGCCGGAGGAAGACACGTGGCTCGTGCTCGACGGCCACAGGGGGGGGGGGCAACGATAGGCGGGGGATACAGTCAAGATGCTGCAATGAAGGACCGCTCGGGGCTCGGGAGGGGCTCGGGCGTCGTCGCCGTCGTCGGCAACGGCGTCGGCGTCGGCGGCGCCGTCGTCGTCGATGGCGGGGGGGCAGAGGCGCACGGCCGCGACATCGAGGGAGCAGGGAGGGCGGCGCTCACGGAGGGGGCGGGCGCCCGTGCCGCCCTCGGCCGAGGGGGGGGGGGTGCGCCGAGCGGCCAGGCGATGTGTCGCCCCGCCTGGCCGCCCCCCCGCGATGAGATTCGCCGACCGGCGTGGCCCCAGCTGGGCGGAGGGGGGGGGGGGCGGGGGGGGGGCGGGAACGGCAGGGACAGGGAAAGGAGGGATAGGGGGGGGGGATACAGGCAAGATGCTGAAATTGAGGACCGCTGGAGGCTCGGGAGGGGCTCGGGTTCTCGGGCCGCTCCTGAGGTTTCTGTCGCGGAGCCTCTCTGCGGCCTGGGCCCGCCGTGGCCAGAAACGCCCCTTCGTCCCTTTCGAATGCAGCGTTCCCCCTGGCAGCACGAGGACTGTAGGCACAGGGGGGGGGGACGAATCGACCTCCAATCGCCCGTTGATCGCCGATAGGTGCCGACAGCCCCAACCCGCCCAGGAGCGTGCGGCTTTGTTACCGGGGGCCTGTCGCCGATCTACCGGCGACGGATCGCCATGGCTAGGTCGATGCGCCCCCCCCGTGTGCCAGTTCCCCCCCCCCCCGTACCGTTGCCCCTCAGGCAAGGGGGGCAAGCTTGAGGAGCCCGGGACCTTCACGAAGGCCCCGGAGAAGGCCAAGGCCTCCGACGCGCAGGCTCCCCCCCTCCCGAGGAAGCAAGAGCACATCAGCAGAACCTGTCGGAGGCTCGCACGGAGCTCTTGGATGTGCGCTGGACCCCCCTGACGGCGTCTCTGGCGCCGCCCCTGGCGCGCCGCTCGCGTCAGGGATCAGGGTCTGTCGCCGATGCAAGAAACCCGCGCGGCTTTCGGAATTTGCTTCTTGTGCTGATCCCCCCCTCCCTCTGGCACCAGCACGAGGGAAGAGGGGGCCCTGAAGGCTGAGGGATGCCCTCCCTGCGGCCTGGGAGCGTCAACGAAACGACTCCAGAGGAAGGGTATCTAATCTTGGGGGAATCCCCCAAAAGTCCAGGAACCCTTTCCCGCAGGACCAGCGCGCACGCGCGCGCCCAGCGGTCCACGCCAGACGGCCCGGGAAGGTCCGTCCAGGACAAAGATAAACCCGTTCCAGAGCGTTTCGGAGCGCTCTGAGGAGGCCGCGGAGCCCGAGACATTCTCCAGAGACGCTGGATCTCCGAGATAGGAGCTTGACCACAAGAAACCTTCCACAAGAAACCCAACCCTGAGACCCCAGGACGTCCATTGATCTGTTGTGTGGGAACGTCACGCTTGCCATCGCAAAACCATCGGAACCCAAGAAACACAGGGCACCCTGGAGGCAAGCAGGGTGTGTCTTGGCATGGGTTCCCACTGCATCCTCATCTGATTTGATCCTCGTCCTGGCTTCGTCCTGAAGGGATGTGAGGGACGTCACAATCGCTCGGCGCGATTGGAGCCTTTGCGGGGCTCGGAAAAGTCGTCGTCGTCGTCAACGTCCTCAACGTCGTCCTAAACGTCGTCGTCGTCGTCAACGTCCTAAACGTCCTGTCGTCGTCGTGGACGTCGTCGTCGTCGTCAACGTCGTCAACGTCGTCAACGTTGTCAACGTCGTCAACGTTGGCGTCGGCGTCGGCGGCGTCGTCGTCGCCGTCGTCGTCGAAAGCGGGGGGGCAGAGGCGCACGGCCGCGACATCGAGGGAGCAGGGAGGACGGCGCTCACAGAGGCGGCGGGCGCCCGTGCCGCCCTCGGCCGAGGGGGGGGGGGATGCGCCGAGCGGCCAGGCGATGTGTCGCCCCGCCTGGCCGCCCCCGCCCGATGAGATTCGCCGACCTCCCCCGACCGGCATGGCCCCGGCGGCGTGGCCCCGGCTGGGGGGGGGGGTCTCAAGGGACGGGGCTCAATGCAAACGGGGGTCAGCCAGGGCGCCGGATCTTGCAGGACCCTGCAGGGCCAGGGCTGCACTGACCTGGGCTTGAGCGCAGGATCCTGGAGGATGTTGCAGGATCCTGCAAAGCCTGACTGACCCAGGTCTGGATTGACCTAGGTCGGTCAGTAGATCCCCGAGTGGGGGAAGGGGACAGAGAGGAAAGGAAGGGAGAGGATCAGGGGCAAGGACAGGCGGGGATGGGCTGGGCTCTTATGAAATTCTAGACGCTTCGCGTATCCCCACCAGCCCGTCCAGAAACGACGCCCAGGCGAGTAGAGGGTCGTCCTGAGGGGCTTTTCGGCGTCTTGGGTGCCTCGGGGGGGCCTCTGTGGGCCGTTCGGGATCCTCTTTGGGGCCTCCTGGGGGCCTCTTGGGGCCTCTTGGGGCCATCTTGGGGCCTTTGGGGGCCTCCTGGGCGCTTCTTGGGGCCTCCTGGGCGCTTCTTGGGTGCCTCTGGGGGGTCTCTTGGGGCCTCTTGGGGGTCTCTTGGGGGCCTCCTGGGGGCCTCTTGGGGGGCCTCGGAGCCATCTTGGAGGAGATCGATCAACGAAGGGGGGTTCCCTAATTCCAGTCCCCCCCTCAGGAGCCACGATGCTCGTGAGGGGTGTCGAATTTTAGCCCTCCCAGGGGTCGTTCTTGGACGCTCTAACTACCCGCGGCGCCCCCTGTCCAGGTCAGTGGGGAGGGGGTAGGGGGAGGGGTAAACCCCTCCCCGAAGGGGAAGAGGGAGGGGTGGAAGAGGAAACTCGTTAAACCACCGACGCCCAGAGGGCTGGTGGGATATGCCCAGGGCGTTTTTTTTCTCGACGTTTTCAACTTGGCGTGTTGGGAATCATGTTCAGCGTTTTTAGCTCGGCATGCTGGGAATGATGCTTAGCGTTGTTAGGTTCCAACAAGAAAATAACATACTAAGGCATGTTTAACGACCTGGCTTTGGGGGGGCGGACATGGAAGGAGGGGAAACGCTCAGGGGCAAGGATAGGAGGGGGGGATAGGCATAGGTGGGGGGGCTGCATCGACACCCTTAATCGCCCACTGATCGCCGATTGGGGTCTCATAGCCCCACACTGCCCAGGGGGGGGATGCATCGACCCCTAATCGCCCACTAATCGCCGATGGGGTCTGGTAGCCCCACATCTGCCCAGGATGAACGCTCGGATTTGCGATCGGGGCCTTGTGCGGATTTGCGATCGGGGCCCTATCGCCGATCTATCGGCGATCCATCGTCGATTCCAGGTCGACGATTCCACCCACGTGCCAGTCCCCCCTGTCCTTTCGCTGCCCCTCAAAGGAAGGGAAAGGGAAGGAAGGAGGGAGGGGGGCATCAGGGGGCAGAACAAGCACGAGATGGCCAAGCCCCCCCCCCCCTTCCCAAAGATGGCGGGGGGGAAGAACTGGGAGGGGGGGAGTGGGGCGTGTGCAGCGGACAGGGAAGGGACAGGGAAAGGGACAGGGCCAGGGAAAGGCACAGGGACAGGGACAGGGACAGGGAAGGGGACAGGCAAAGGGACAGCGGACAGGGGAAGGGGAAGGAAGATGGGGGGCCTCTGGGGGCAGAAGCGTCACGAGAGGGACGAGCCCCCCGCCCCCCCCGGGGGGGGAGTGCTGGGGGGGGAGGCGGCGCGCGAGAGGGCAGCAGCGGCACGAGAGGGCCGAGGGCCCCCCCCCCTCGGCGGCGGCCGGCCGCAGGTGGTGGAGTGGAGCGAGGCGCAGCAGCTCCTGGAGCAGATCGACCTCGCCGCCGTCCCCGGCCGCGTGGGCATGGACAAGGACCGGCGACCACAAAGGGTGCGGCCCTGGAGGTCCGACGCTCCGGAGGAGGAGAAGGAGCTGGAGCGGGCGGTTTGGGGCTGTTTTCGGCCTGCGGGGGCCCTCGCCTCTGGCCCCGGCACCGTCCAGACACGGTGCCGGGCGTAGAACGGGCCCGGGGGATTCCCTCGGGCCCGTTCTCCCCTCGGTGCCCGGAGGCGTGGGCCCCGGAGGTCTGGACCACTTCCAGAGTGGTGCAGACCTCCGGGGCCCACGCATCCGACAAAATGGGAGCAGCTGGATCTCTGGGGCTACGCTGGGGTATGGTTTGCCATCGGCGCCGTCTGGGCCTGGGGAGCACGACGCGGTCCTCGTCGGACCTCCTCGGGGCGCGGCGGACAGCTCTGTCGAGGTCCTCGCCGGCCCCGGGTGCCCCCCCAGGGTGCCGGTTGCAAACCACACCCTTTGCACGCCACACCTTTGGGAGTCGCCGACAGGACCCCGATGCCATTAGGTGTCGGGCACTGCGAATCGAAGAACAAGACACGGCATGAACATAAGCTGTTGACGCTCCGCGCGGATTTCTCGGATCAGCCCTGGGGCCACCCTGGCGGCGCCTCTGGCGCCGCCACTCGCGCGCTCCGCGCGCCAGGAAGGGGGTCCAGCGCCGATCCAGGAAATCCGAACGGACCTCTGAGAAATTATGTTTATGCCGTCTTTTGCTTCTCTAAAAAGCTCCTGAGGGCCGAGGACCAAGGAGGAGGAGGAGGAGGAGGAGGAGGAGGAGGAAGGAGGATCGAAGATCGAATGAGTTTTGGATGTTTTAGGGGTGCCTTTGAAAGTCCTGCGGGTCTCTGGGATCCAGGAAGGAGAAGGAGCTGGTGACCCCCATGGTTGCGCGGCGCAGTGGTGTCCTCCCCTCGGCACTCCCTGGAGGTACTTCTGCCACTTCTTCATCCTGCTTCACCTCGAGCAGCTTGCGGAGGTGTCCACCTTCCGGGGCAGGTTCGGCTTCAGGACGGGGGAGGAGCTCGCCAGATTTGGGATCGCGGTGGTCGGCACGAAAGTCACCTCCGTCTCCATGTTCAGGCAGGAGTCCAGAAGGGCGGCCCTGCCGGGCTGGCCCGAGGTGGGTCACACGCACGTCACCTTCAAGCTCAACCCGAGGTCCGTGGACAGGTCCCGGTTCTCCCTGAAGACCGGGGAGTCGGTGCTCGTGTCCCGGGGGCATCCTTTGCAGAGCCGCGTCGGGGAGGGGAGCGTGAAGTTCGCGGACTTCGCCACCCAGGATCGGGCCAGACGAAAGGGCAGGATGGGAAAAGTAGGGAAACGAGCTCTGTATACACCGACGCTTTTTCCGACCCTGCGCTGAAATTCTAACAAAGACGCGGATTCTGGTGTATACGGGATCCTGGTGTATACCTTTTTCGTCGCCTTCTTTGGAAAGGAAAGCGAAAAAAAGTGTCACCACACCACCCCGACGTCGTCCCCGACCCTCAGAGAAGTCCTGCGATTGAAACATAGCCCGCCACTGGTAATGTATATGTTCCAGTTTCCGAGAAAGGGTAGAAATCTGCTGCATGCAGTGGTGTCGGCCCCGCCGTCGGGCCCACTCCTCTGCACATGGGCGCCAGGAGGCGCCAGGAAAACTAGCTGCCATACCCTACACGCTGCACTCCCAAGAAGGCCCCAAGAGGCACAAATCATTGATTTTCTATTGGTTTTTGGTGAATTGTGGGGTTATCCTCTTTTCGACTTCCCGACGCTCCAATACGGCAGTCTCCCTCCCAGACATCCAGCTGCTCCAATCTTTTGGATGCGTGGGCCCCAGGAGGTCCAGACCACCTCCCAAGGGCCGCTTTTTCGTCTTGAGCCGTTTCTGTCACGCCCCCGGGGCCTGGAGAGGGCCCAAGGAGACCGAGAACTGCCAAACACTGCCCGCTCCAATTCTTCTGGAGCGTCAGATCTCTGGTTGTTCGTCTCCCCCGACGGGATCGGATGCTTGCCTGAGGTTCGGCGGCGAGCGAGGGGGGAATCAGAAGGAAAAGGCCGTCTCAGAAGGTGGCGGTACTTCTCAAAAGCCCTCGCACCATCTAAGAAATTGTTGTCTGTCTCCGGGGAAGGCTTATACAATTTCTCAGCAGGCCGGTGGACTTCCGAACCTTCTGGGAAGGCCTTCTCCTTCTCACTTCCCCCCCTCGCTCGCCGCCGCGAGGTGGCCCCAGCCCAAGTTGGCCTCAAGCTCTGCAGGGGAGGCCCCAGCGCCAGAGGCCTGCACACCTGCGCCAGCGCTGCATTTTCGTGCTGTGGTGGAGGTGCAGGTGTATGCTCGACGTCCTCTGACCATCACGACGACTACGACGTGCGGGGGAGGAGGAGGAGGAAGAGGAGGAGGAGGAGGACGAGGAGGAGGAGGAGGACGAGGAGGAGGAGGCGGAGGCCAGGCCGCCTCGGGGGTGAGGCCCGCCAGTGGTTGGTCCGCCAGGCCAAGACGTGGCCTGACGACCAGCAGAACGCGGAGCTCATCCGCGCTTTCAAGGTGATCAACTTGCGTCGTCCAGACGCAGCTGGCCCTCCAACGCCGCAAGGCCGCTGGCCTACGCTAAGCTCGCGGCCCTCCCCCTGTTCCTGTTCCTTTTTTCTCCTTTTCCCCCTCGCCCAGTTCTGGCGGCCAGTGCTCATCTGCATCGGTTTGTGGATAAGTTCCTTCTCTTCTCCCTCTCCTTCCCGCTCCTTGTCTTCGGCGGGCGAGCGCGCGCCCAAAGGCGGGGGGGGCGCACACTCCTCCGCCGCGCGCTCGTCTCCTCCTTCTTCCGGTTCCTCCCTCCTCCCTCTCGTCCTCCTCCTCCTCCCCCGCAAGGATGTTTTTCTCAGACGTGCAACGCCGTCGCTGCCCTAGTTTGGGGAAGGGGGCCCTGTCGTGTCCCTTGGTGCGCCGCCTGTGCAAAGCCGCACCGAGGGGCGGAAAAGGCGCAGGGCCCCCTTCGCCCCGCCCCGTCTGACGTGCAGGTGCGCCCCTGGTTTTCGTGCACAGTTTCCCTGCGGTGCGCTGTGGACTGCTCTCACACGCCTGGCCCCAGTGGACACCCACCACAAAGCGAGGTGGGCGCTGGGGCCGCGGGTCAACGACGAGGAATGGGAGGAGGAGGAGGAGGAGGAGGAGGAGGAGGAGGAGGAGGAGGATTCGAGGTCATGATTATGTGGTGCCCCTTCTCTCCTCTTCTCTCCGCAGTCAGCTGCCTCTTCTATTTGTTTGCTTCCTTCTCTAGCTGTCCCGCCGAGCCAGCGATAACGTTCGTCGGGCCACTGCGTTGATCAAGCCCCCAGGGCCGACTGGCCCTGCGTGGGGGGAGGGCCGCGTTCGATGAACTCTTAGGCCACCAGGAACGCGGAACCAGGAGGAGAGGAGGAGGAGGAGGAGGAGGAGGAGGAGGAGGAGGAGTAGAAGGAGGAGGATCGGAGGCGAAGGCAGAGAACCGACAAGAGGAGGAGGAGGAGGAGGACGACGACACGGTCCCCAAAGCATTCCTTCGGGAGGCCCAGAGGGCCCCCGGGGGGCTCTTCGGAAAGCTGGGGTCACCCCGGGCGGGGGTCACCTCCGTCAGCGCCTGGCAGGAGCTGGTCGTCATGGTCCACGGAAAGTGGGCGGACTTCGAGCCCAACGCCATGTTCCGCCTGGACAGCTACGCGAACAGGACAACGTTCGAGCGACAGCTGACCTCGTTGCTGCAGTTCATCACCATGCAGCGCACCAAGATGCAGGAAATGCTAATCGCCGCCGGCGTTGGCAAGGCCTCGCCCTTAAGCTCCTCGTCGTCCTCTTCCTCCCTGTCCAACACCTCTCCTGAAGTACGGAAAGGGGGGGAAGGGGAGGAATAGATGGAGAGGAAGGGAGGGGGGGGAATGGGTGGAGAGGGAGACGGGGGGCGGGGACAAGCTAGGCAAGCTCGCGACACACCCGACAGTAGACCCCATCCCACACATTCCTTCCCATCGCGGCGAATTCTTTTCTATCCGACGATTGGAGTGTTCTAGAGGACCGTGATTCCCAGATGGCAGTTGTGGACTGTGCAATCGGGAAGGGATTTCTGTACACGAGGAGGAGGAGGAGGAGGAGGAGGAGGAGGAGGAGGAAGCGGATGAGCCAGAGGATGATGAGGAAGGAGTAGGATGTGGAGGAGCTGACAGAGGATCAGCAGGATCAGAGGAAGCCGGAGGAAGGGAAAGGGATAGGTGGGGCGGCATCGACGGGGAAATGACTGGATCCAGAAATTTGATCCACGCTTGGGCGAGAGAGCTTTTTTCTGGACGATGGAAGGCTGATCCTGAACTGTGGTCCACGGTGCAGCGGGAGCACCGCTTTTCAATCTTCGTGGGCGTAACGATTCGACCGGTGACGTGCCACCAAAGCATCAGAACGTGAAGTCCTGTTTTGCGCGAAGGCGCAGTGCGCGAGAGCGGCGGCGGGGCACCACTGCACATGATCAGGGGGGGAGGAGAGTTCAGTACTCAGATCTCAGAAGGAGCAACAGTGGGGGTGGAGGAGGAGGAGGAGGAGGAGGAGGAGGAGGAGGAGTAGAAGGAGGAGGAGGAGGGGGAGGCGAACGCTCGCGGAGAAGGAATAGGAGCATGATCTCCTCTTCCTCCTCCTCCTCCTCCTCTCCTCCTCCTCCTCCTCCTCATCATCATCATCATCATCATCATCATCATCATCATCATCATTATCATCATCATCATCATCATCATCATCATCATCATCATCATCATCATCATCATCATCATCATCCTCAGTTTCATCCTCCTCCTTCTCCTCCTCGTCCTCGTCCTCGTCGTCCCCCTCCCCTTCCACTTACTCATCCGGATGCCCTGCGTCTCCCCTTCAGCCGCTCCTCTCCCCCCCCTCCCGCCTCGGCGAGGTGGACCTGGCCGTGCTTGGCGGGGACGGCCTGGTGGACCCCGGGAAAGGCACCAAACTGGGCGAGGAGAGCGGCGGCAAGGAGGCCGCGGGGGAGGCGCCGAAGCCACGGAACAGCAGCGTCCTGACGGCCAGCGAGGTGCGGGCCATGCTGACCTCCAGGACGCCGCGGGCGCGGGCCGGGACGAGCGAAGACGACGGTGACGACACGAACCTGTTCCTCCCTGCTCCTTCCTCTCCGCTTCGTCCACTTTCCATTCCGCGTCCCCCTCCTCGTCCGCCTTCGCTCCTCCTCCTCCTCCTCCTCCTCCTCCTCCTCCTCCTTCTTCTCCCCGCTCCCTCTCCTCCCCTCTGGGTGCTGCGGACGCCGATGACTGCGACGACGCGAGCATGTTCTTCTCCATTCTCCTTCCCCTCCTCCACCTTCCCCTCCCGATTCCCCTCCACGGCCCCCTCCTCGATGCCCCTTCTCTCTTATTTCCGCCGTCCCCCCCCCCCCACGGGCCTCTAATTTTCCACCTCCCCCTCCTCCACCTGTTGCTGTCGCTGCCGGCTGGTCCGTCGGTGACTGGGACTCCAGGCGGTCGTCCGGAGGGAGGGGTTGGGGATTTCGGAAGGTGTAGCATGTACACCTTAGGCGATGCTTAAGAAAACTTAAGTTTTCGTCCAGAATCTCGATTATTCTTAACTTTTCAATGTAAATCCTAAGATTTGAATGGAAATTTTGGGTTTTTACTCAAGTTCTGAGACTATGAATTTCTTAACCCATGATTTCTTAAGCATTTCGCAGGGTGTAAGCTCTTTTGCAGACCAGGAATCACTCAGGGAATTGGCAAGGGGAGCGAGGCGAAGGAGCACGACAGGGCGGGTGTTCCTACAGGGAGAGGCAGGCAGGCGGCGGGGTGCTGCGGGCGGCGGCGGGGCCCGGGCGCGGGCCCCACCCCAGCGAGGCCACGGTGGGGATGGGATCTCCTCCATCCTTCTGCCTGGTAAACCTCAGAGGAGCAACAGGTCAGGAGCGAAAGAAGGACGTACATGTACATGAATCCAAGGTGGTTTCGAGAGTACGCGTTGCGCAAATGTTCGTATAACGCGGCCGGTCTCGCGGATCGAGGGGCCGTGTTCATGGACATAGCTGGGCGCGTACGTCCTCTGTGGGCTCCCTAACAGGGGTGCAATCCGTAGCCACTTTGGCTCAAGCCCGTTCTGGATGACGAACCGCTGCCGCCCTTCTGGCAAGGGTCTGGAACAGTGCCGCAGAACTCTTGACCCTCATCCCGCCAGCCCCAGCCAGGGCGTCACCATGGCGGGCAGCCAAAGCAAGAACCTCGTCGGGGGCGCCTGATTCAGGCCCACGTCGGCTCAGGTGACTGCCGACAAGCTTATAACCCTACACAAGCTTATACGATTCGCCTGGCTGTCGCCAGGCCATTGAGAGCTTATACGCCGACAAGCTCATACCATTCGGCCGTATCCTCCTGAAACGTGTGGGTGAGCATGCGGCCGACATCGCTGCCAAAGGCGTCCTGAGCGGCAAGACCACGTGCAGCTACGTCTCCACCGACGAAGGGCACATTCCCTTCGTCGACCCGATGCATCTGATGCGCGTCTGCAGGCAGTGCCCTCGGCTGCGCGTGGAATGTGTGGACTCCGGCGAGTACGTGGCGATGCTCGTAGGGTGCCCGCCCACATTCGTCTATTCCAGCAGCACCGAGGACCCCTACTCCCGCCGAGCTCTGGGCCGACCTCGTGACCTACTTCCACGGGCCCGCCGACTCCCAGCCGCCGCTCCCAGCGGGCAGGTACAATTGCGCCCGGGCGCTCAAGGCGCGCGGCCTGCCGTTCCTCGGTGGTCGTAGCCTCGGGGAGGTGTGCCATACACTCGCGCTCGCGATGTCCCAGAAGAAGATCCTGGGCCACTTCAAGGGCCACACCGTCCCCTACGCGCGCTCCGAGAGCGGGCACAAGGAGTTCGGTGCGGCAGCACGACGACGTCCCTCCGCCGCCCGGCTTCCCGGTGCCGTGCGTTGCGCCGCCGCGTGAGTTGGGGCCGACCTGCGCCCAGCCTTCGCCGCTGCGGGCCCACCCCTGGCCGGGGCTGGGGGCGCCGCAGCCGGCGTACATCACGCCCACGCTGCTCGAGAGCATCAAGCCCCTGAGCGCGAAGTGGGCCAGCGGGCCTGGCGGAGTGGTGGATGATCGGCCGCGCGGCGGGCGGAGCGGGCCTTTCGGCCTGGACCCCGCGTGGGCGAGCGGGCCCTCCGGGCTGGGGGTCGACCTGGCGGCCTGGGACCGCGACCGCGACCTCCAGTGCGCGGGGTGGCCGCCCGGCCTGCAGGGCAACAGCCTCGGCCTGGCGTGCGCGGCCTACGCGGCGTGAGCGGACGCTCCGCGGCCTGCAAGTTGCGGCCAGCGGCTCTTCGGCGGCCGAGGCGCGGCGGCCGGCGGCGCCCGCTGCACGAGCGGACGCCGCGGTCGCGGCGCCAGCGAGCCACATGACACGTGACGCCACCGATGGCGACGCTGACGGCTCACGGAGGCACAGTGACTGCACTCCCGTGCAGGCGCGGGTTGCGTCTGGGGCAGCCCCGCCTGCAGCACGCAGCGACCCTGCGCTCTGCCTGCCACGGGCTCTGGCGCCGCTGGGGGCTTGGCCGGGGGCTGCTCGCGGTGGCTCGGGGGGGGGGGAACCGGGGAGGTGCGCACCCCGGGTATTTGGGGCTGGAGTATCAGTACTCTGCGTTTCGGGCCCCCAGCCCGCTTGTGGCACAGCCATGTCGGCCCCGTGGCGCTTGATTGGGTGGGCTGCTTCTCGTGCCGCTCCTGGCGCAAGGCGCCTATGGCGGGCACAAGTGTTCAGCCGACAAGAACAACTGCAAGTCTACCCTCGCATCTCGTCCTGCTGCGCAAGCGTGCTGCTGCATAATATCGTTGAGGCTGCTCCTGGCGTTCGTCTTCGCGCACTCTTGCCCAGCTCCAGTACAGTAAATGGTTCGTGGATGACGCGCATGGCGTCGGCCCAAAACCCAACCTGGCTTCGCTGACACCGAAGTTTTGATACTTCGTGTCAATGTGAACGCTTATTGATATGACGATTGCAACATAATACTTCTGCATCATAATATTGCAGTCCCCATCCTCGGTCCTCATCCGAACTTCCGCCGGCCTCTAGTGACGAATCATCGCCTCGAAATCTGATATTTGTTCGTTGTCCCCCTCCATTTCCCGCGTTTCCAAATTTTATATTTGTCCCAGGATCGAACTAGAACCGCAGATGCCAAGGCGACGGGGAGTACAGCAGTGCCGAGCACGGCTGCTGCGCTCTGCGGCTATCCCGCGAGGTCTTCTGATCTGATGTACAGACATTAAGTGTCGCATGTATTAGGGTGCAGCCGCATCGGCTGCTACCCACGCTTTACCCCTCCGTCGTTGTGCACAACGTGCCAACTTGCATTTACTTTTAACTTCTCTTATTGCACGCGCGTGAGTATCATGACTGATGTGCTCTGTGATCGGCTGCTAGTCTCACACATTGTGTTCCTCCGCTTCGGCCTGTTCTAGTAGCTTTGTGGAGTCTCCTTCCCATCAGCTGGGAAGCTGGCAGATTTCATGATCTAGATGCGAATCGTTTGCAACAACAAGAGGAACCCAGGGGCTCAAGATTTCCGAATGTTCCACGCGGGCTGCAGAAATCAGTGCCGCTAGATACTCTGGAAAACTTGAAGCGGATCCTGAGACAATCGCATCATGGCATGACTCCCGTCCTGAAGTCACCTGACCCTGCCGCACCACCAGACGTGCTCGTAATTAAGCTCGTTCAGGCGTTCCGCTTCAGACTACCTCACAATCTGCGATCCTGAAGCGAAGAAGCTCCAATTGATGTTTGCGGCTTCCGCATGAGCGCCGCGCATATGCTACAATGATGCAGGGCCCGTGGTTTTCAAATTGAAGCTTCCGCATTGTACGAATCTTCTTTGCCAGAACCCGGGTTGGTCGCCGCCCCCGAGTCTTACGTCTCCCCGAACATTCGTGTCAGAAGTTTTGATGAGGCATCGATAGACGCCGGCTTGTTAGCAGAAGTCGTCGCTCGCCCTCGTGCCGCGCACATTCGCCTTAGAACACACAAAGGTCAAGTACACGGATGGCGGGTGTTGGTTTTGAACGTTCGTTCTTCGCCTTAGGGTTGCGCACATGTTTTTGACGTTTCCAACAACTACAGGGATAGGGGGGCAGTTCGTTTTCGAATTGTTGCTCTCGCTACCCTCCCACATATTATATGACCCGACGTTCCCAATCCCGCAACAGATGCGCGGATGCAGGGTGGTTCCTTGTCACTATGGAGGCTTCGCTGGAGGCGACCGCAAGATATGGGAGGCATCACGCAAGCCTACGCCAGCGAGAGCCTGCAACCGCGCCGCCGATCCCACCACATGATGGCACCGCCGTCATCAGAGGGTCGGCGCCAGCGCTGGTCACTACAGTGTGGAGGTCCGGCGAAGACGCATCCCCTGACTTCCCTGGATAAGACGGCCGATACCGGCCTGGCTCCTGCACAAGATCTTTCACGCCTTCTCCTTGTCCCTGCCACGAGGCCATGGCTTCACGTGCCCAGCCGCCAAAAAGGGACGGGTGAGCTTCGCATGTGCCCGATAACGGCGCCGATCCGATTTTCATCACCATGTTTTTCTTGTTCATATTTCTTCTCCCTCCTCCTCACCTCCCCCCGCCTGGTCCTTACCCTCATCCTGCTCCTCATTTCTCCTTTTCCCCATTGCGCTTCTCTTCCGCATGCCTCTCCGGGAACCATCAGCCACCTCGGGACTATCCGTTTTTTGTTGGGATCCACGTAAAGTTTGCGGCATATTTCAAATATTGAATATGGCATCGGGGAAAACCAAAGCAAACATATCGATACTATAATGTATGGCATAGCGGGTGGGAAACGAATGAATGAGACAGTTATGAAGAAATGCCAAGAGAGAGAGGGAGAGAGAGAGAGAGAGAGACAAAAAGAGAGAGGGAAATAAGAAAGAGAGAGAGAGAGAGAGAAAGAAAGAAAGAGAACGAGAGAGAGAGAGAGAGAAATCGATTGCAGATCACTGAAAAATAGCGTCAGGCAGAACGATTATACGATTATTGCGCAGCAGAGGTGAGACGTATCTACACATATATATATATATATATATATGTGGAACTACCGAGAGAGAGAGAGAGAAGGGAAAGAGAGAAAGAGAGAAGGGGAGAAAGAGAGAGAGAGAGAGAACACATCATTAGAGAGGGAGTGCTCAACACGGAGAAGAATCATCGGCATCAGAAGAAGAGGGAGAGGAAACGAAAGAGAGGGGTCGCCCACCGACAGCCGCCCATCGAGAGCCGCCAACCGAAATCGGCCGGCTACTTTCGCCAATCTCTCAAGGGAGCGCCCATTGAAAGCCGCCCACCGAGAGCCGCCCACCGACATCGGCCAGCTATGTTCGCCAATCTCTTCTATGTCCGCTAGGACCCCTTCAGTGTAAACACTCATTAGGGAATCGGAATGTTCATAATCTTCTCCCACCTTCATCCTTGCCCTCCCCTTGTGGGACCCTCCGAAGTTCTCCAGAACCTTTCGACCAATGTCAGACCACAGATCATGCTTGATAACCTCCGAAAACATTCAAACGACCATCATACACCTACTCCTGCTATTGCTTTCCTCCTCCAGCTCCCATCCCTCCTCCTCCTCGCTCGCTTCCTTCTCCTCATCATCACCATGATCGCCGTAATCATAGTCTTCATCATCATCCTCACTGCCGTCATCACCACCATCACCATCACTATCACCATCATCGCCGTCATCAGCATCACCTCTCGCGCGCGCGGCAGTGCACGCGCACGGCAGGATGGAGGACGAAACATGATGGAGAATGGAACTGGAGAAGGTCTAGAAGGGAGCACGCACTCTCGAGGCACCAACTGGCTCCAGGCCGCTTGCTCACCTCGCCTCATCCTCCCTGGCCTGCAGCCCCCCCCCTTCCTCCGTGCCTCTGCCCTCCCCCCCATCGCCCCCACCTCCCTCCCCGCTTCCCGCGGGCTCTGGCGCCCCAGCTCGAGACCGGGAGCCCTTGCTCTCCGCCGGCCCCGGCGTCCTCGGGGCCCCGCCTCTGCGTGACTGGCGCCGGCCTGCGGCGTCGGCGAAGCTGCGGGGCCGGGGCCATGAACCAGATGCAGCAGTTCTCCACGGCTCCCCAGGCGTGGCTGTGGCTGTGGCTGTGGTCGTCGTCGCGGGAGGCGGGGGGGGGGAGGCGGGAGGAGGAGGAGGAGGGAGAGAGGCGCAGGGGGGCAGGAGGAGGGTGAGGGGGGGAGAGCGGGGGGAGGAAGGGCAGACGAGAGAGGGGGAGGAGGGGCGCCGGGACCGCGTCCCGCCGATGGGGGAGGAGGAGGTGGTCCACGAGCAGGGGGAGGAGGAGGAGGGGCAGCAGCAGCAGCAGCAGCAGCAGCAGCAGCAGCAGCAGCAGCAGGTGCACGAGCCAGGCGCAGCAGCTCTTCACGGCCCCCTGGGCGGAGGGCAATCGAGAGCAGCCCTCGAGTGCGTGAGGCGGGCGAGCCGTCCGGGAGCCGTCGACGGGAGATGTCAAGGCGAGGCGACGTGGCGTGATCGATCGCGCAGCCATCGAGCGGGGTGGGTCTGGCCATGGAGTAGCCATCAAAGGGGGGGGTCAAGGCGAGGCGAGGTGGGGGGAGCGATCGAGCCGCGCATCGCCGCGGCTCCACGGGAGGGGGCGGGAGGGGAAGGAGGGGGGCAGGGCAAGCTAATCAGGTGCGCTCGCGCCTCATTTTGGCATCCTATCCCATCCCATCCCCTCCCGTCCCATGGTGCTCAATTTTCTCTATCCGCTGATTCGTGCCACAGCCGACATGCGACTCACACAGGAAGACCACTTCGTGTAATGCGCAGTCGGAAAATGGGGAGCTGCGTGCACAGGAGGAGGAGGAGGAGGAGGAGGAGTAAGAGGAGGATGAGGAGGATGAGGTGGAGGGTGAGCAGGAGGATGAGCAGAAGGAAAAGGATGAGGACGAACAGCAGCAGAAGGAACTAAAGCGGAAGGGTTGAGAGGAATGGAGGACCAGGGGCAGGCGGAGGAGGGAAAATGAGGGGGGGCGACAACAATTGAGAAAGACTCGGATTCTGACAAGTGGCCCGCGCTAGGGCGAGACAAACAGCAGCAGCGGGAATTGGAGTGGAAGGAGCGGGAGGAACAGGAAGACTAGGGGAGGGCGGAGGAGGGGAAACGATGGGAACCACAAAGAGGCCAGACTCGGATCCAGAAAATTGCCCCGCGCTTGGGCGAGAGCGCCATTCTGAACGACGGGAGCAAGGCGCCGATCCGAGCATGAGGCCCACGTTGCAGCGGGAGCACCATTTTGAAACACCAGGAACATTTGGATGTTTAAAAGCCCTATTCAACATGAGTACGTAACATATTGTAGGAGAAAGCGTCGTGGTGGGGGCCGAAGATCTTCCAGACAACATCAGGGGAGGAGGGAGAGTAGTATTCATATTGTTTGGTTGTAGAGGAGAAGCGGAACGAGTGTTTTTGGGAACTGGTGAGGAGGAGGAGGAGGAGGAGGAGGAGGAGGAGGAGGAGGAGAGGAGGAGGAGGTGGAGGAGGAGGAGGAGGAGGAGGAATAGGAGAAGGAGGAGGAGGAGGAGAGGAGGAGGCAGGAGGAGGAGGAGGAGGAGGAGGAGGAGGAAGAGGCGAAGGCAAGGAGGGTAAGGATGAGGGTGAGAAAGAGTGGAGGAAGGGGTGGAGGAGGAGGAGGAGGAGGAGGAGGAGGAGGAGCAGTTGGAGCAGGAGGAGCAGGAGGAGGAGGAGGACGAGGAGGAGGAGAAGGAGGAGGAGGAGGAGCAGCAGCAGATGGGGGAGCGGAAGGTGGAGGGAGAGGAGAGGGAGGAGGAGGCGGTGTGCCAGTTCCCCCTCAGTGAGCGTGAGCTCCGGAGGCGTGGGAATCCCCAGGCGACTGAAACTAGACGAGGGCCAAAGACCCAGAAGGGTAGCTAAGCCCTGGGCGACCCGGAGAGGGGGAAGGGGGATGAGAGAGAGAGAGGGAGAGGGAAAGAGAGAGAGAGAGAGAGAGAGCGAGAGAGAGAGAGAGAGAACAGACAAGACAGAGAGGCGGAGGACGAGAGGGGAGAAAGGATGGAGGAGCGCGAGAGGGGGAGGAGGAGAAGGGCAGGGGCAGGAGGGGAGGCAGAAGGAGGGCCGCGAGCAGGAGGACAAGAGAGCAGCAGGACGAGGGAGGAGGAGGATGAGGGTGAGGAGGAGGAGGAGGAGGAGGAGGAGGACTGCGAGGAGGACGACGAAGGGGAGGAGACGGTGGAGGCGGATAGGGGAAGGTGTGAATCCTCCGTCAGCCAGCCCCCCTGCTCGGCATCCCGCGGCTCCCCGCCCGGTGGCCTTGAGGCGGTGGGGACGAGGAAGAAGTTCCGCGAGCCCGATGACCGCACGATGTCCACCAAGGGCAACATGATGCAGGACGGCCTTCCGCCTCCCTCCGCCGCCTCCGCCCTCGCCCGCCGCACTGCTGCTGTCCCTCCCTCCTCGGCCTCCTCGCCCTCCTCCTCGGCCTCGCTGTCGCCCTCTCCGCCGTCGCCCTGCGCGGCCTCCTCCCTCTCCATGCCCCCTTCCACCGCTCCTCCTCCTCCTTCTGCTCCTCCTCCTCCTCCTCCTCCTCCTCCTCCTCCTCCTCCTCCCGCTCCCACTCCCGCTCCCTATAAACCTCCTCCTTCTCCTCCTCATTTCGCTCCCGTTCCCCACCATTCTACTCCTCGTCCTCGTCCTGCTCCTCCTCCCCCGCCTCCAGTTCCACCTCCACACCTCTATATATAGAGAGAGAGATATGCGTGTGTGAATAATTCTCTTCTGTCGCACCCCGAGGCCAGTCGAAAGGGCGGGCCGGGCGTTTCGCCTTGGACTTTCTCACCATTTATGGCCCTGAAGCTCAACAATTGGCGACAGTTTCACATATATAGAGGGCGGGTGGTTTTCAACATGTGGCTCTCGCTTTAGCGCCGCGCGCATTCGCTTTAAATGTTGCAAGAGCTTCGCGGATTGAGTGCGGGTCGTGGTCAACATGTAGTTTTCACTTTAGCGCCGTGCATTTGCGATTTGAGCATCTCCAAGAGCTTCACGGATTGGGGGCGGGCCGTTTTCAAAATGTGGTAATCTCCTGAGCGCCGCTCACATTCGTTGTGAAGATTTACAAGAGCTTCACGGATTGGGGGCGGCTCGGTTTCACCATGTGGTTCTCGCTCCAGCGCCGCGCACATTCATTGCAAATGATTACGAGAGTTTTGCGAATTCCCATGGCCAACGTACCAGAGAGTGTGCTTTGGAAGGACTCAGTATTGCGAGGGTGCAGCAGTTACATTGGTTTGTGGTGTTGAAGTCCCAGGAACGCTGGTCTGGCGCAGTTCAGGATCGTCAAGACGCAACAGTCCGATTGATCTGTGGCGCTGGAGTCCCGCATACGTATGGTGCTTTGGCATGTTTCAGGGTCTTCGACGGTTGTCCCCTACCGAGGCAGTTCCTTCAGTGGAAATGAACCCTTGCAGGGGCCTGTGAAGAGAGAGTTTGGAGGGAGGGTTCATTCCACCATAGTCGATGAGTCTGGGGTTTGCACTGGTCCTCCTCCTCCTCCTCGTCGCCCAGGCGCGACGGCCCCCCAGGGTGTCTGGCCGCCGCGGGTCGCGCCAGGCATGGCGCCGGAAGAGATCCAGAGCCACCCGTCGGCGCCAGACTGCTGCCGCTGCTGCCCCCCCCTTGGTGCCGCAGCCCTGCCGGAACCAGAGTCGAAGCCTCCGTGCACGGGCCGGCCAGCGGCCTCCATGCAGTCGGCCCGAGGTCTAGGATCGAGGTCGGCTCGGGGAGGGTAGCCTAATGCTCTTCGTGCTGGCTGGATGTTCCTGTTCATCCCGGGGGAGGGCACCCTCGAAGGTTCTTCAGCATGGCTGGCGGAGGGTCGCATGTTCTTGAGGGATGCTCGTCTGTCCTAGGGCCGACTGCACGTGTGCGACCCACAGATTTCTCGGGGTGGAATTCTGGGAGGGGCTGTGGGTGTGTGTTGCCGGATGGGGGTCCCCGCTGGAACGGGTGCCCCCCCCCCAAGGTCCGACAACTCCCGCCCATACCCCATGCCTCTTGCGCCTTCGTCGCTCTGTCCCTTTCCCATTCTTCCCTGCAGGTTGAGCGCGCGGTGTTCCTTCATCATCCGGCCCTCCCCCATCCTCCACCATCCGTCCTCCCTCATCCCTCATCACCCTTCCAATGGCCTCATACTTCCTCCCTCATCCTCCCTCCGTCCTCCCTCATCCCTCTTCCCTCCTTCCTCATCATCCTCCCTCCCCCCGCCAGGATCGGCGAGTGGTCCGTGGCAACACATACGCGGCGCTGGTGGCGCCGCAGCCCGACGCGGCCGAGGCACGCGCTCCCAGTCGGCTCGCTGTGCACCGAGGGCACGCACCCCCCCCCCCCGTGGTGCTTTCGGTCGTCGCCTGTGCCTTCCTCCTTCTTGCCCTCCTCCTCCCCCATCCCTCTTCCCTCCCTCCTCCCTCCTCCCTCCCTCGGGCTGTGCACCAGTTTTCGGTGTAGCTTTGGGGCCAGCGTTCCCAGGCGTTTTGGATCCTCCTCTTGAGGATCGCCTCTGGGCCTTTGAATGTCTAGGTGATAGACGAACATGGGCCCCCACGGAGTGTTTCTTTCTTCTTCCCTCCTCCCCTATCCCTCCTCCACATCCCTCCTCGTCCCTGGGGCCCCCCTCCCTCCTCCACCCCACCACCCCCCCCAGGCCCCCCTCGCGGGTAGCGGGCCGCGCGGCGCGAGCCCGCTACACGTGAATGATGGTCTGGCGATTTCGGGGGCCGTTCTCGTTTCGAATTCGTCTTGCGGCAACGGCGGATTGGAGATGAAGCGAGGGAAGCCGAAAGCAAAGCGAAAGCGAATCACATGATTTGGGTCGAGCCCTGTCAGAAGCGATCCCGCTCAGGGCTGTCGACCCAGGCGTGCCAGCCGCGTGACACGTTGGCCTCTTCGTTCAGGGGGGCGAGGTGCGCGTGAGGCTCCGCCAAATCCCCCCCCCCCGCACCAAAAAGAGGATCACTGAACGCGCCAGCCAAGTCAGGAAGGCATCCAGCTGACACTTCCAGCCTGTCCCTCCTTCCTTCCCTCCTCCTGCTCCCCAGCCCTCCTCCCTCCCCTCCCCGCTCCCCCGCTCCCCTCCCTCCTCTGCCGCACCGCGGCTTCCTCTATCCTCCCGCACCCCCACCTTTCATGCACTGCCCTGGAGAAGTAACGCAGCTTTAATCGTCGATTCGTTTGTTTTCGTCGCCTTCGGCTTTTCGTCGTGTTTGGCCTCCGGGGGCCGGTTTCGGCTTCCAGGACCGTCAGAAACGCACCCAGGATAAAAAACGACCCGCAGGGAAGTGACCTGGACGATTCTCCGACTTCACCTGCAAAGGTTACATTGTTTGTCCCACAGGGGTGTAACCGGGCCAGATGGATTGTGTCGGCCAGATCTGTCCCAGGTGTTTCCTCCCTCCTCCTCCTCCTGCTCCCCCCCCCGCCGTCCTCCCTCTGTGGCCATGTCCTACGGCAGATGCGATTATTTGTTTCCCAGCCCATCTTCTCTTCCCCCTTCCTCCTCCTCCTTCTCCTCCTCCTCCTCCTCCTCCTCCTCCTCCTCCTCCTCCTCCTCCTCCTCCCCCTCCTCCTGCCCCCGGCCCCTCTCCTGCTCCTGCTCTTCCTCCTCCTTCTCCTCCTCCTCCTCCTTCTCCCCCTCCTCCCCCTCTTTTTTCCCCTCCCCCTTATCCTCCTCCTCCTCCTCCTCGTCCTCCTCCTCCTCCTCCTCCCCCTCCTCCTCCTCCTCCTCCTCCTCCTTCTCCTCCTCCTCCTCATACTCCTCCTTCTTCTCATCCTCCTCCCCCTCCTCGTCAGTTTTCCGCTATCGAAGGGACGGGGGATCACCAACGATCGAGTTAACACATCATCGCCAGGCCCAAAGCGGCCAACCGGCAAGAGGGAAAGACCAGCCCTTGTTTCTATGGACACCCCCGTTGCCAACCCATGTCAAATTGGCAGCCAGCTGGACAGCACAGAGGACAGCGAGTGCTGGGATGTTTTCGCACAAAGCCAGTGCAAAGGCCAGAAATAAGTCATTAGCTTGAACTGCTGTGTACGAGTTACTCGAGATCGGAGCTTGTTTATGTTCGTCGTGCGCCGTGCGTCGTCGTTCGTTCGCTCGTGTCCCCCTGGGCCACGTGCCCCCCCTAACCGCTGCCTCCACATGATGGCCCCAAAGAGAAGCTTCAGACTGTCCGCAAGAGAGTCTCCCCCGCCTTACCCTGCTCCGCCTGTCCTCACCACTCCCTCGCGCAATGGCCAGGGCACGCGGCCGCTTGTCTGGGTGAGCCCGTGCAAATGGCAAGGTTGCCAAGTTGGTCGGTTTGGCATGGCACCCAGCCCCAATCAGCCGAAAAGGGAGGCAATCGAAAAAATCAGTGACCGAAAAAGCATGCCCGAAGTGGTGACCGAAGACGTAGTGTGACTGAAATCGTGAACGAACTTGAAAATCACTATGGTTCCGAACCAAACATTTCGGTCACACTCGGGCGGTCGGAAGGCAGATGTTCGGGCACGGTTTCGGTCACGACGCCTCCTTGATAGAGACGAGGCTACGTGAGGTTTGGGGCCTGGACGGTATGTTGTTTTTTAAATGTATTCGGGGAAGGCTTAGGACATGTCTCAGAAGACCCGGTTATTTCTAGCCTACTGAGAAGGTTTTCTCCTTCTCTCCTTCTCACTTCCCCCTGGGCTCGCCACACATGTTTGGCCGCTGCACGGTATGTAGGATCATTGTTTGACCACGTGGCCCTTCCAAGGGGCCGGGCCAAAGCGGGCCGAGGTCCAGAAGCAGCGCGAGGCGCAGCGGAGGCGGCTGATGCGCGCAAGCCAGAAGGAGAGGCCGGGGGGGAGGAGACGGACGAGGACGAGGACGAGGACGACGACGCGGACGAGGCAGACGAGGACGAGGCGGACGAGGACGAGGACGAGGAGGAGCAGGATCAGGAGGACGGAGGACGATAAAGCGGAGGAGGAGGAGGAGAAGGAGGAGGAGGAGGAGGAGGAGGGAGATCGATGCCCAGAGCGAGGACGAGGCTGACGACGGCGACGGGGGCGCAAAGCATGACGATGTCGAGGATTTCGAAGATTGCGGCGACGACGTCGAGCAGTGAAGAGGAAGAGGAAAAGGACGAGTCCGACGACGGCGACGGGGACGATGAGGGACAGGATCAGGACGACGACGACAACGACGACGGCGGCGGCGTCGGCGGCGACAGCGACGGAGAGGACGACCACCACCTCCACGACGACGGCGAAGGACGAACGACCGACGACGACGAGCTGCTAGCTGGCGCAGGAGAAGCGCCCAGGCACGCCGGAGCCCGTGATGGGCCGGAAGCACATGGACATCCAGACCGACTCGTACCTGGAGGAGCTCACGGAGCGGACAGTGGAGTTCGAGGCCCCTAGACCTCAGTGGAGGAAAAGATGGTTACCAGTACCGCTATCTGCCCTGTATAGCCCTCGTCGCCACGGCTGGCTTGTCTTCGAAAGAATTGATGCTTCGCGTATTCCCCCCCGTCGGGGCCAGACCGGTGAACTCCCGGGGCTCTTTTGCGGCGCTCCTGGCGCGCTCTTCGTCGCTCTACGGGCTGTCTTCGGGCCCTCTTGGGCAGTCGTGGGGCCACCTTGTGGCATTCAACGCCGATCGGCAGCGGCAGGGCGACAAGGCAAAAACGCCGAATGTCCGCAGATGTTGGAAAGACTTTGTCCTCTTGAGGGCGTCCGCGGGTTGCTCGGAGGATACTCGGGGCCGTCTTGGTGCGATCTTGACACATCATGGATGCATGTGGGAAGATATCTCGTACGATATTTGGATATATCTTGGGCTATGTGGGGCCCTCTTGGATCCTGGGCCATCTTGGACGCTCTGACCCCTCGCGATCGGCTCATGGAGAGCCGGTAGGGGAGAGGTAAGCCTCTCGCCGAATTGAAGATGGTTGGGGAACTGACTCGTTAAATCACCTACACTGAACAACTTGGCGAGATTCTGCTTAGGATGCACCCAGGGGGCGGTCCGGGGTCTGGGGAGTAGCTGGATCGGTTCCTTTCGGCTCCCCCAAGACCTCACGTCGCGGCAACGATCACAACTGGAGGTCCTTCTTTCGGAGGGGGTAGGACGTTTTCTGCCTTTGGGGGGGCCTCTGGGCGCGCCTTCGTCGCCACAAGATTCGCTTTCTGGAATTCTACTCACAGCGCACCCCTGGACGGGTGGGCGAGTTTTGAGGGGTGGAGGAGATGGGTGAGGGCGGCGACGACGAGCAGGGAGAGGGGGAGGGGCGGGCGGAGGCGGAGGGGGAGTGGCTGGAGGGAAGGGGAAGGAGAGGAGGAGGGGGACAGGAGGAGGATGGGGAGGAGAGGAGGAGCATGTGGTTGTTCGCTCGCTTTCGGTCCGCCGAGGCTTCGAGGAGGAGATTGCGAAGGAGGGGGAGGAGGAGGAGGAGGAGGAGGAGGAGGAGGAGGAGGAGGAGGAGGAGGAGGTGGAGGACGAGGAGGAGGAGGAGGAGGAGGAGGAGGAGGAGGAGGAGGAGGAGGAGGAGGAGGGGGGAGGAGGAGGAGGAGGAGGCGAGGACGTGGAGGACGAGCAGGAGGAGGAGGAGCAGGAGGAGGAGGAGGAGGGGGAGGAGGGAGTCGAAAAGGAGGGGGGAGACGGGCTTGGCGGAGGAGGGCGGAGTTGGTCGGAGTGAGGGAGGCAGCGCCACCTGGGCCCGAGGAGCCCCAGGCCGCGCGGGGAGGGGGAGGGGGGGCTCTGGCGGCCGAGGCGGAGACCCAGACCGACTTCCTGCTGGACAGGCCGCCCTCGCCGCTGTTCCTGCCCGCGAAGATCGGGGTCGACATCGCGACGCAGATCGAGGAGAAGGGGGGAAGGAGGTGGAGGAGGAGGGGTGGGGAGAGAACGAGGAGGAGGAAGTGGGGAGGGGAGGGGAGGGGAGGGGAGGGGAGAGGAGGAGAGAAGACGAGAAGGGGGAGGGCCAGGAGGAAGACGAGGAGGGCGAGGAGGAGGAGGAGGAATATAATGGATAGAGGAGTGGCGGGAGGAGATGTTTGAGGTTTGGGGCGGTACCCGATTGCTTCATGCAAGTGTCTATTCGTTGTTTGATGTACTCGGATGCGTTAAGAAGTTTCGCGTGGGAGGGATTCTGATTGTGAACGATTCTGGCGTAAAGGGGAGAGTAGGAGCAGCAGCAGCACAAGAAAGGCACATAACGGAAGGATCAGGAAGAGGCGGAGGAAGATTAGGACGAAGCGGGCGTGGCGGAGAACGGTATCCAGGCGAATGAGGAGGGAGTGAGGATGTTAATGGTGATGATGCTGATGATGATGATGATGATGATGCTGATGATGATGATGATGATGATGATGGTGGTGACGATGATGATGATGATGATGATGATGATGATGATGATGATGATGATGATGATGATGATGATGGTGGTGATGATGATGATGATGTTGGTGATGGTGTTGATGATGATGGTGATGATGCTGGCGGTGATGGTGATGCTGCTGATGCAGATGCTGGTGCTGATGATGCTGGTGTTGCTGCTGATGGTGATGATGCTGATGAGGATGATGGTGATGACGATTATGGTAGTGATGGTGATGAGGGTACTACTGATGCTGATAATGATGCTGGTGTTGATGGTAATGCTGCTGATTATGATGATGATGTCGCGGATGCTGATGACAATGAGTATGAGGATGATGTTGTTTATGATGATGATGCTGATGATTATGATGCTGATGGTGATGATGATGCGAATGATGCTAACGATGTCGATGATGCTGTTGATGATGATGATGCTGATGTTGATAACGGTGATGCTCATGATGCTGATGTTGATGCGGATGCTGATGCTGATCGTGATGATGATGATGGTGATGATGATGCTGATGATGATGATGATGATGCTGATGATGATGATGATGATGATGATGATGATGATGATGATGATGATGAGGTGGACGAGGAGGAGGAGGAGGAGTAGACGGAGGAGGCGGAGAAGGATGTGCCGACGATGATGACTACGATGGTGGGGAGGAGATAGAGGAGGAGGACGTGGACCACGACGAGGGGACGGGGAGAAACACAGGATAAGAAAAAAGGGGAGAGGGGTGGGGTGGTAGGCGTGCGGGCGGCAGGAGCAATAGAGGAGCGAGGGAGGCAAGAAGGGGGAAGGGAGGGGAGGAGGGCGAGCTCTTTGACTTCGACGTGGAGGTGGAGCCCATACTCGAGGTCGGCAGGGCCCGCGCACGCCAGATCCAGACTCCTCATACTCAACCCCTCCCTCCTCTTACTCCTCCTTCTCCTCCTCCTCCACCTCCTGCTCCTCCTCCTCCTCCTCCTCCTCCTCCTCCTTCTGCTCCTCTGCATCCTCTCCCTCCTTCTCCTCCTCCTCCACCACCTTTTTCTTCGCCTCCTCCCCCTCATTCGCAAACGCACATTCTGTCCCTCCTCCTTCCGTCTTGGTTTGTGTGCCACGACCGTGGCAGTTGATGCTACTGCAGCTGCGACTGTAATGACTCCTTCTTGCTGCAATCACAGCGGGTGACTTTGCTATCCAGTTGCGCTGTCGCGCGAATCCGCCACCGCGCGTGGGGGTGTTGCTGGGGGAGGGGGGCCGAGGGGAGGTGCGGCCATGGAGCGCACCACCTTCGATTGCGGTTTTAGCAGCGTGTCTTGCGCGTCAGGCGGCATTCTGCGCCGACCGCGTCCGACCACTTGCGCGCACCATGGGCCCGACGCGTCTGCGGGCGGCTGCCTGCCAGCCGCCATCGACGCTCAGTCACGTACACGCTCCTTGGCGTCCGCATGCTCATCTCCCCATCACATCTCCATCCTCATTCTCATTCGCCCACGCACCCTCATTCTCATCACCGTCCGCATGCTCAATTGCGCATCCCATCACCATTCTCATTCTCCCACGCCCGTGCGTCGTGATGTCGTCGAGCGCCCGCAGACTCTCACGCAAAGGATGTACCAGGCAAGGCGTGGCGATAGTGGGGGGGCAGCAGCGGAGGCTGGCGGAGCAAGTCCTCGGGGAGGGCTCGCGTCGAGGTCCTGGTGGGCAAGACGCTCGAGCAGAGCGTGATGGAGGTGCTCGAGGAGGAGGAGCCCCGAGAAGCGCCCAAATTCAATCTGCACGGGTCCTGGGCAGGACTGTCTTGAAGGGCCCGGGGTTCCGGCATGCACGCGATCTTGTGCCCAGGAGGATGTTGCGTCTCGCAGGTGGGGTGGACGACCGAAGGAATGATCGATGCGGATGAGAGGGGGAGGAGGAGGAGGAGGAGGAGGAGGAGGAGGAGGAGGAGGAGGAGGGAGGAGGAGGAGGAGGAGGAGGAGGAGGAGGAGGAGGAGGAGGAGGAGGAGGAGGAGGAGGAGGAGGAGGAGGAGGAGGAGGAGGAGGAGGAGGAGGAGGAGGAGGAGGAGAAGGAGGAGGCGGAGGAGGAGGAGGAGGAGGAGGAGGAGAGTAGGAGGAGGAGGAGGAGGAGGAGGAGGAGGTGGGGAGAAGGGGGAGAAGGAGAAGGAGGAGGGAGAAGGAGGGGAGGGGAGGAGGAGGAGGAGGAGGGGGAGGAGGGGGAGGAGGAGGAGGAAGGGGGAGGAGGAGGAGAAGTAGGAGGAGGAGAAGGAGGAGGAATCCGTAGCCAGTTTGGGCTCAAGCAGCAGGGCAGCAGGCCCCGTCCTGCCCTGGCAATCGGCAGGCCGACATTGCCAACGCTCTCTGCTGCCGCTTCTGTTCGCTTCTGCTGGCTGTCTTCGGTGCAGCGGGATCCGCACATATTGTCGGGGGTGGACAGAACCCCCAACAGTGACGCGTCGATTAGTGAATTGTCCGTTTTCGGTTCTCGAGAGGGCGCCGCGGCCGTTATTTTCCAGGCTTGCGCCCGCCAGGTTTGGGCTTCAGGTCGTTTTCACTAAACCACGTGTTACTAAAGGGGGGTCTGTCCATCCCCGATATTGGTGGCGAAGCGGCATCGGGCCGCCATGCCCAAGACGGCACAGGCAGGTGGTCGCCCGTTCCAGGGGCTCTCTGCAGCGGCGATGGCGTTGAAGATGGACTCGTCCTGGAAAAGGCGATTTGGGAACTGGGATGCCACCCTGGGGCTGGTGGAGAAGATCAGCGAGGAGAGCGTGTCGGCGCACCTCGCTCGCCTGGACGCGGAGCTTCCACGAGGCCCGTCCCACGTGCAGCACTGGCAGCAGGGCAAGCAAGGGCAGAGGCACTGGGCATCAGCTCGCAGCCTGCCCAAGTAGATGTACAGCGGCGACCAGAACGAAACAGAGGGCCCAAGCTCGGGCACGGAGGAGTCCAACGCAGAGCTGCCCAGCCACGAGCAAAACACGGCCATCGAAGTCATCCATGAGTGCCTGCTCGACATCAAGGACTTGGTGATGAAGGTGAGGGCGGACGTGCTCCAACCAATTACTCTCAAGTCTGACTGGGGCGTCAAGCGGCAGCAGCTGCAGTCCCAGGAGCACCAGCTCACGGAGCAGCTGCAGAGTTGGGACAAAACCAAGGACGATGTCAAGTTCGGTGACAAGCTGTTGCTGAGCCGAGCCATCTCTAGTCTACCAAGTTTGCGCAGAAGATCAACGGCGTGGACGAGACCAACTTCGGCTCTCAAACGGACCTCCCACAAGGTACGCCGGAGGACATGGTCAAAAATGTTTGTTTGTATATAAGCCCTGGTTATGTTCATGATTCGAGCTCGGGCGTGCTGCACTACTGGTCTACAAACTTGTTTCCGCATGTCGATCCGAATCAAGAACCAGAGAGAAGTGTTAGGGGGGGCGCGTGGATGAACATCATATTCGCTTTGAGAGCGTGCCTCGGCCAAGTATGACATCGAAACGTCGCCAGCCCACGCTGGAGGCTTCATGCGCACGTGCTGCTGCACGTTGCGATCAGGAGCAGCGCGAGAAGCAGGACGAGCCCAAGACGAAGCGTCCCCGCATTCGACGGATACAGATTGCCGCGGCGGCGGGGGACAGGGAGCGGGAGATTGTGAGCGAGCGTTAGCGGCTGGAGAGGATCCGCCGCCGACGCTAACGCTATTTTGAGCAGCAGGGCGTAGGCCCACTTTTTCCACCGTCCTCCCCTCTGTCGGTCATCCACCCTCTTCACCCTCCCCCAAGTCGCCCCTTCCCCAAGCCAGATCTGAGGCTTCGGCATTACATCGGTTACCAGTGGCATAATTCAAGGGATCGGGAGGCGAGGTGTTTGATGGAGGAAGGATGAACCACTTGCCAATCAGGTTCGAGGCACGTTTCAATTCAGTGTAAGCTGGAGGCTGGTCGCAGTGTTAGTAGTGTCCGCCTTCAGCCCCAGCTCTGGGACCCTTGTGCCTGCAGAGGGAGAGAGAGAGAGAGAGGGTAGCGAGTTTGTCTGTTGGCCTATTTCGCGCATGTCGGTGCAGTCAACCTCACCTTACCCTTCCATATACCTTATCTTGATCCTGCCCAGCCCTTCCCCGCAACTCTCGCAAGCAGCCATGCAACAGCCATTTCTGTTTTCAAGCTGCCATATTCGCTGCTGAACGGGCGGGGTGGGCATTCAGGCGGGGGGGGGTGCGAAGTGTAAGCGGTGCGGGTGGGATCTCGCTTTCCATTTCCAAACGCCGTGGTTCTTGGAGGCGCACTCAAGGCACTATACGAGCGCCTTAAGTTGCGCGAGCCTGCCCTGAAACGCTTTCTTTATTAGGGCCCATGGCGAGTTGGCCTGGCCCTCTCCGCCACCCCGTCCTTCGGCAGAGGGTTTCGAGTCTTACGCGTGGTGCGTGGTGCGTGTGTGCGGGTGTTGTTGGTGAGGCGTGTATTGGCGGCGGAGAAGGAGGACCTGCCCCATCCCTCCCCGCGCCCGCACCAAGAGCCGCACCACCACTAAAGCAGAGGCGAAGACCTTGCATCGCTTAAGGGGGCGCACAGCTGATGATTTCATGGGCCCGACCCTTCCCCTCTTGCGGCAGCGGTGGGTCACACGCCGCAGCAGGAGTCGGGTTGCTCTGCCATTTCTTTCGTGTCGCTTTCTTTCTGTACTTTTCTATCTCTGTCTCTCTCTCTCTCTCTATCTCTCTTTCTCTCTCCCCGTGCACTTCGAGCGCGTGCAGTTTATGTGTGCCTTGAGGCACATCTAAGCGTCGGCCTGTTCGGTGACTCGGGCTCGCTGCGGGCGCGCGTGTGATGAGGAGGGGAAGGAGGAGGAGGAGGAGGGGGAGGAGGAGGAGGAGGAGGAGGAGGAGGAGGGGGAGGAGGAGGAGGAGGAGGGGGCGGAGGAGGGGGAGGAGGAAGCGACGGAGAAGGAGGAGCAGCAGCAGGAGGAGGAGGAGGAGGAGCAGGAAGAGGAAGAGGATAACGGAGAGGACGAGGATGAGAAGGAGAGGAGACGAGAATAAGGAGGAGCAAGCGTATGAGAAGGAGCATGAGTAGGAGGAGGGAGGGAAGAGGAGCAGGAGGATGATGAGTAGCAGAAGGAGCAGCAGAAGGAGGGATATGGGCTCAAAGAGAGAAGATGAAGCAAGAGATATTCCAGATCATGCATAACACTTTGGGCACATAGTCCTGCAGTTGCGGTTCACAGTGATGTTGGCAGGATCGCCAACAGTTTGCGAGGTTCGAAAGCAGATGTGAAAATGCCGACGGCAGGCGCAGATGGCCTAACACATTATACAAACAGCCCGCCGCAGGTGCCGATCACCCTCGCTCTGAACCATGCTTAACAGCATGGACCCCAAGCAAACAATGTTTTGCACGGTGGCTGCGTAAGAAGTGTGTTGCAAGCTACGTGGTGCAAGCTATGTTGTGCAACCTTCGTGGTGCAATCTTCGTGGTGTGAGCTATGTGGTGTAAGCTATGTGGGGCAAGCTATTTGGTACAATGGATAGTTACCAACCCATGGTTTGTCAACTCTAATGTTTGCGCTATCATCCCGCCCTCCCTCCCGCAAGTTGTTTTGCAAAATCCGTGCGGCCGCAATTCCGGTGACTGCTTTAACCTGGCTTAAGACATTCTGCGGCTGCGCTAGCGCGCGCAAGCTCGCGCGCAAACCGGCCGGCCGGCTTGGCGCAACTGATGCGGCCGCGATGGCAGTTCCTGATGGAAATGTCCCAACTCGTCTAAGAGGCCACGCTGGCGCGTGTGCGTCTCAATGCGGGTCGGTGGCTCGGGCGGGTGCGATATCCATGATAGTAGCGATGGTGGCGGCGATGATGACGATGACCACGGGTCGCAGGTCGGTCGTCGGCGGGGACGACGAACAACAAGAACAACAGCCCGCACCGCGGAGCCGCTTTTCAGTCACGCACCCAGGGACGGTGCGTGACTGCTCGGCACTCTCACTTTGATTTCCATGGATGTATGTATTTTGGGAGTTGGCACTGGGCGCCCAAAAGATGCTCCCAAGCAGGCCCGCGAGGCTTCAGCAAACGCCCAGGGGAGGCTTGCTGCGTGGCCGCATGGCCCGAAAGCCGCCAAGCCGGGACCAAATCATAACTAACGCGCGCCATGTTTTGTCGGGGGGACGGAGAGAGAGGGGACGAGGAGGTGAAGGAGGAGGCCATTCGATGGTCAAACCATGCATTCGCTTGTTCGGCTGACGCAGACCCAGGGAACGCAGACACCAGCGACATCAGCCAACATCCACTCCAAAGTTAACCCTTTGGGAGATTATTACTGTCTCATATTGACGCCATCGGCAAGAATGAGACTGGAGGCGAACCACTACGCATTCGGCATATTCGGCATCGCACCATCGTCTTAATTACAGCCAGAGTTTCAGTTTTCGGAGGCTTCCGGAATCTGCACCAGCCAGGTGGAGGCAGAGATGATCAAATGCAAAACGACGAACCGTTATGATACACATTGCCTCGCGGGAGACATGGCTGGAAAGGCGTTCCGCCTAGTCCTCTTTTGTCTTCCTCCTAGCCTCGCCTGCCCTGGTCCGTTCTGTAAACCGTTCGCTCCAGCGCCGTATCGGCGGGCACGTTGGGGCCGTATAGGGACCACATGGAGGGCGTATCTGGCCGCTTGGGCGATGGTAGAGAAGGAGAAGGAGGACGGAGAGGATGAGGGAATGCGCAGCTCGAGCCCCTCTTCCTCCTCCTCCTCCTCCTCCTCCTCCTCCTCCTCCTCCTCCTCTTCTCGAAGGAGCTCGAGTCCCTTCGCAGGCACCAGGAGGACTTTGAGAAGCGCCGCAACGCGGAGCTGCAGGAAGTGCAGCGCATGGAGGCCGCCGAGTCGCGCCGCAACGACGAGATGCTGCGGCGCAAGGAGCAGCAGGCACCCGGGATGAGAAGAAGGAGAGGGAAGAAGTCGAGGCGCACCGAAACACACATTGTCAGAATGAGGGGGCCGAACTGCCATTCACTGTCCTTGGGTGCGAGGCAGGAATGGGGTTCTGCGGTGCGGATTGTTGTTGCATCGTTGTGGTTGTTGTAGTTGTTGTTGGTGTTGCTGGTGATGTTGATGTTGCTGGTGCTACGGCTACTGCTCTTGTTGTTGTTGCTGTTGCTGTTGCTGTTGCTGTTGGAATTTCCATTCCTTTAGAGAACAACAACACAACAACACCAACAATAACAACTACAACCAGCGCACATTGCGTTTTTCAACTGAAGTGCCCCCCTCGGGGATCGAACCCTCTTTCTGTGTTATATATATATATATATATACACTAGGCGGTGCTGGGCCCCGAACGCGACAACAACGGCTCCCGCCTGATACTTCCTCACGATGTATTGCAAAATCGCGTTCTCGCGCGGGACTTCCTCACAATGTATGCAGGCATCGTGCTCTCGCGTGGGACTTCCTCGCAATGTATTCAGACGCCGCGCCCTGGACACTCAAGATCCACGCTCTCTCTCTGGCTTTTCTCGCGATGTATTGGGGAATCGCGCTATGGCTCGAGAATTCCTCGCGATGCATGCAGGATTCCAGTGTCAGCATCCCGCCTGCTCGACTTGGCCGCGTGGGCCCGCCTTTCAGACCCGCCCGCTAGGGTCTGCCCTTCCGATCTGCCCTCCTCTGGTTCTGCCACGGCCTCCCTGCTCTCTCCAGTTAATGTCTCTCGTGCTCCATCCTTCTCTCTCCCCCTTCCATCCGTCATGTCTTCTGTTGTTTAACGGCTGAGATACATGCACTTGGCAGGTAAGGAAGACGTACCCCAAAGGGGATACGATCGACGACGAAGAGGTCGAGTGCCGAGGGTTTTAGGGGGGATAGGGGGGAGATACGTGTTGGATGGCACGCGGGCAGCTAGGAGCGAGCAGCCTTGAAATGGGTGATGCGATTGTAGTTGATGTTGGTTGTTGTGGTTTCTGGTGTGTACGGTGTGTACGGTGTCGGTGTTGTTGTGGTTGTTTTTAATGTTGTGTTGGGCGGTTCCGAATTCTAAAGAACCAGTATGGTTGATCCCCCTGCCCGGTGACCATTGCGTTGTTCTATTACATTGTTTCCCCAAGGGTTCGAACCTTCGTGTTTGTTTTAAGGGACAGCGTAGGGTCACCAAACTGGGCCCCTGGCCCCCGACTTACAACAACAACGACAACAACAACAACAATAACGGCTCCCGCCTGATATTTCCTCAAAGTGTATGCCAAAATCGCGCTCTCACGCGGGACTCCCTCACAATGTGTTGCAGGAGTCGCGCTCTCGCGGGGGACGTCCTCGCAATGTATTCAAACGCCGCATTCTCGACGCTCAGGGATGGTGGTCTCGCTGTGGTTGTTCCCACCATTCACTTGGAAATCGCGCTATCGCTCGAGACACCCTCGCGGTTCATGCAGTATTCACGCTTCAGCAACCCGCCTGATCGACCTGGCCCCCGTTAGGGTCTATCTGCCCGATCAGCCCGTCTGAGTATGCCACGTGTTTTCTGCGCCTAGCCCCCCTCCTGCGAAGTCGTGCTCCATCCTGTTCCCTCCCGTCTCCATCCGTCCTCGCTTTCCTGGTGTTAGGGGCTGCGCAAGTCACACGCGGCAGGTCAGGAAGATCTACCCCCATGGGTGCACAATCGAAGACGAAGAAGGCGGGTATCGAGGGTGTGGTGTTGATCACCCCTTTGGTGACCATTGCGCTTTTGTCCATTCAAGTGCCCCTCCCGGCGCTCGCACTTTGTTCCCCATATCCTAAGATGGGGTTCTTGTTATTAGTTGGACGCCTCCTACTCTTCCTCCTCCCTGCTCCTCTTTTCTCCTCCCCTCCTGTCGGACTTGCTCATGCACAGACTTACTCATACTCAGATTTACTCATACTCAGACCTACTCATACCCAGACTTACTCACACTCAGACATACTCATACACAGACTTACTCATACACAGACTTACTCACACCCAGACGTACTCATACACAGACTCACTCATACCCAGACTTACTCATACACAGTATTAGTCATACTCAGACTTACTCATACCCAGACGTACACATACACAGACTTTCTCATACACAGACCTACTCATACCCAGACTTACTCATACACAGACTTACTCATACACAGACTTACTCATACTCAGGCATACTCATACTCAGACCTACTCATACTCAGACTTACTCAACACACATCAGATTTGGAGGATGTCTCAGGCGGGGCGCTCGTTTCAGCACCCCTAAGGGGAGCCGCCAGGGTGATTGCACACATTTGCTCTGTTTCTGGGCTCAACATCCTTCGTTTTCGGAGCAGATTTGGAGGATGTCTCGAGCGAGGCGCTCATTTTCACCACCCAGGTGGGCCAGATTTTGAGGATGTCTCGATCGGTTTGCTTGTTTTGGTGGCCAGGCTCGTGGCCCTAAGGGGAGCCGCCAGGGGTGATTGCACGGGTTCGTTCGCGGCCATTTTGTGGGGATGTCTCAGGCGGTTTGCTTGTTTCTGGGCTCAACATCCTTCGCTTTCGGAGCAGATTTGGAGGATGTCTCGAGCGAGGCGCTCATTTTCACCCCCCAGGTGGGCCAGATTTTGAGGATGTCTCGATCGGTTTGCTTGTTTTGGTGGCCAGGCTCGTGGCCCTAAGGGGAGCCGCCAGGGGTGGTTGCACGGGCTCGTTCGCGGCCATTTTGTGGGGATGTCTCAGGCGGTTTGCTTGTTTCTGGGCTCAACATCCTTCGCTTTCGGAGCAGATTTGGAGGATGTCTCGAGCGAGGCGCTCATTCCCCCCCTCCCAGGTGGGCCAGATTTTGAGGATGTCTCGATCGGTTTGCTTGTTTTGGTGGCCAGGCTCGTGGCCCTAAGGGGAGCCGCCAGGGGTGGTTGCACGGGCTCGCTCGCGGCCATTTTGTGGGGATTTCTCAGGCGGTTTGCTTGTTTCTGGGCTCAACACCCTTCGCTGTCGGAGCAGATTTGGAGGATGTCTCGAGCGAGGCGCTCATTTTCACCCCCCAGGTGGGCCAGATGTTGAGGATGTCTCGATCGGTTTGCTTGTTTTGGTGGCCATGCTCGTGGGCGCAGATTCTTCTCAGGATGCCACAGGAGGCTCCAACAGGCTCCAGGAGGCCCCAGGAGACCACATGAGGTCCCAGGAGGCATCAGGAGGCCACAGAAAGACTCAAGAGGCCACAGGATGTCCCAAGAGGCTCCAGGAGGCCCCAGGAAGCTCCAGAAGGCATCAGGAAACCACAGGAGGCCCCAGGAGGCAACAGGAAGCGCCAGGAGGCCTCGGAAGGCAACAGGAGGCCCCGAGAGGCCCCAGGAGCAGGAGGCCTCAGAAGGCAACAGGAGTGGCTCCAATCCCATGTGTTGTACGTATGCTCCTATCGATTGGGCCTCGCCTGGAGCACGATTCTTTGATGTTCTACGCATGTTTCTATAGATGGTCCTTCTCCTGTGTACACAATCCTAAATGTTTTACTCATGTTCCTATAGATTGGGCCTCTCCTGGGGCACAAGTCCTTGGTGTTTTACGCGTGTTCCTATAGATTGTCCTTCTCTTCTGGCTCTAATCCGCAATGCTTTATGTACGTCTGTTGCTATAGATTGCGCCTCTCCTGGGGCACGAAACCTTCCTAGGAGGCTCCTGGAGACCCCAGGAAGCCCCAGTAGGTTTCAGGAGGCCCCAGGAGGCCCCAGGCTCATGCACAGAGACGCGCTCGTACTACTGAGGCTCATTCACACTCCAATTCATTCGCAATTAGATTGATGTCCAGACCGTCGCAACTGAAACCCGTTAATATTCGAAAGCTCTTGCGCCTAGACATTCACGGCGGACAGGTCCATGCGAGTAGATGCACATATGGGGAGCTCCACGCAGTGACTATTTTTTTACAAAAGACAGTGGGTTGTCACTAAACTGCGATGTTGCTCCCGGATTTCGACAACGACGGTTGCCGCCTGATACTTCTTCACAATGTATGCAGGAATCGCGTTCTCGCGTGGGACTTCTTCGCAGTTGATTCACACGCCGCGCCCTCGACACATTACGAATCATGCTTTCGAGATTTCCTTTCGATTTATTCGAAATCGCGCTATGGCTGAGACTTCCTCCCGATTCATGTAAGACGCACGCTTCAGCAACCCGCCTACTCGGCCTGGCCGCCTGGGCCCGACTTTTCGACCCATTGGGTCTACCTGCCCGATCGGCCCGTCTGGTCCTGCCACATGTTTTCTGCTCCTAGCCCCCCCTCCTGCTACTCTGTCGTGATCCACCCTCCTCCTTCCCCTTTGTCCTTTCCGTCCATCCGTCCTCTTCCCCCTGCCTTAGGGACTGCAAGAAAGACATGATAAAGATAAAGAAGATGTACCCCCAATGGGGTGACGATCGATGATGAAGAGGTCGGGTATCAAGGGTTTGGGGTAACGTGCTGAATGGCACGCAGGCAGGCAGACTCGAACAGTCGTACAATTGTGTTTGTTGTCGTTGAACTCTCACTACTGAAGAGCAAGTATTGTTGATCCCCCCCTCCGGTGACAATTGCTTGTTTTTTCCATTGAGGTGTTTCCCCTGGGGCGCGCACTTGGTTTTTTGATCAGGGGAAGTCACTAGGCTCAAACTGTGCCCCTGGCCCCCCGGTTTACAACAACAACAACAACAACAACAACAACAACAACAACAACAATTACTAGCACGTGGGGACACACCGTTCTCACCAGTGCCAGGGTTTTCATAGGAGGCGGGCAATACCCCCACTTTGTGGGGGGGCCGGTTCAAGCTCTACCAAATTTCCAAACGACTCTTCGCCACCACCCACACCCAGCTTCCCGCCCTATGACGTTCGGACACTTCACTTCGTGGCATGCGGACGACCGTGGCTACTATTCAGGGCCCCGCGGCCGACGACGACGGCGTGCGCGCGCGAAGAAAAAACGAATGTGTCCCGCATGGTATTATTTGACAGGGATGATGGCCCTGGCAGGTGCGCAACCGTTGTTGCAGAAGTTCGAAAAAGTTGCTCGCAAAAGCCCGTTTGACAGAAATGTTTAAAAAGTGTTGGGTTTCCTACGAATCCGCAAGAGCGCGCGGGATGAAATTTTGACATTTTTTTTTGAAAAACCATTGGTTTTTTGATGTTTTTATGTTAAAATCGCTACGAAAACTAAGGTTTTGGAAGGATTTCGTCTTGCGCGCGCGAATGTCCACTTTACCTTGTTTTTTGCAAGGGATTCTTGAAGTTTGGTTATGTTAGAACAAGAAATGTCCACTTTAGCTTATTTTTTGCAAGGGAAAACCGATCGTCACAACACAACCGGATCTGGATCACATCGTTTTGCCTGAGACTTCCTCACGAAAATGATGAAAATGTGGCTGCGGCCTAGGCGCGGCGGGGGGGCCGTGCACCAGGGGCCCCAACAATAATTATTCTTTAAAAAATAATGTTCAACAACATCCTCAACAACGTCTGCCGCCTGTGACTTCCTCACAATTTAGCTAGGACCCCCGCTCCCGCCTGAGACTTCCTTGTATTTTACTCCGGAATCGCACTCGCGCTTGGGACTCCCTGACAATGTATGCAGGAATCGCGTTTTCGGCGCTCTGGAGTCGCGCTTTCATTGGAGACTTGCTTGCAATTTACTCAAGAATCGCGCTCTTGCGTTGGAATTCCCGACACTTTATCCATGCACCGCGCTCCCGACACCCAGGCACCCAGGAGTCGCGCTTACGCTTAGGACTCCCTCGCAGCTTACTTAGGAATCGGGATCTCGCTGCCCTTCGTGGCCCCGTTGCAGCCCTTCGTGGCTACCTCGCTGCTCTCCGTGGCCTCGTTGCAGCCTGTCGTGGCTCCCTCGCTGCCCTTCGTGGCCCTGTTGCTGCCCTTCGTGGCCCCCTCGCTGCCCTTCGTGGCCCCGTTGCAGCCCTTCGTGGCCCCCTCGCTGCCCTTCGTGGCACCGTTGCAGCCCTTCGTGTCCCACTCGCTGCCCTTCGTGGCCCCCGCTCGTTCGCGCCCGTCGTGGCTCCATATGCATGCCCTTCGTGGCCCCGCTGTCGCCCTTCGTGGCCTCCTTCCTGCCATTCGTGGCCCCGCTGTCGCTCTCGCTCTCGCTATCGCGTTCGCTCGTCGTCGTCGTCGTCGTCGTCGTCGTCGTCGTCGTGGTCGGTCCCCTGTCCGTCCCTCTTGGGGTCGGGTCGCCGCCGATCAGCGCTGCCGCTGGCCAGGCCGACCGTCCGCGGCCGCCCCGCCGCTTGCCGGGGCCTGGCCAGCAGGGAAGAAAGGTATGACCCCCAAAAAGGGTACGATTGAAGACGAAGAGGGGGGTATCGATGATTTGGGAAATACGCGTTGGATGACACCCGATTAGATTAGAGCGAACAGTCTTATAATGATTGTTGTTGTTGGTGTTGGTTTAGTTGTTGTCGTTGTTGCTGTTGGTGTTGTTGGTGTTGTTGTTTTTTTCCCTATCTAGGCTCTGCCTAGAAAGGGTTCTTACTCTCTTGGCTTCAAGGGCCGGGCAGTGGGGACCGGCCCGGGCGGACCCCCCAGTAACCGCCCCGTGGTTCCCCCAGTTGCGTCCCCTCTAGCTTAGCGTTGCTTATCTCACCTTAGCTTAGCTTATTTCATCTTAGCTTAGCCTAGCTTCATCTTAGCTCAGGTTTGTCTTAGCTTAGCTTACCTTCATTTTAGCTTCGCTGAGCCTTAGCATAGCAGAGCACAGCCTAACATAACCTAGCATAGCATAGCGCAGCATATTATATCATAACAGAGCACAGCATATCACAGCATAGCGCAGCATTGCATATCATAGCATACCATAGCTTAGCTCATCTTAGCATAGCGCAGCGCTGCATTAGTATCGTATAGCATTGCGTAGCATATCCAATCATAGCAGAGTATTGCATAGCATAGCATAGCGCAGCATCGCATGTCATAGCATATCATATCATATCATAGCATCACAAAGTATATCATGGCGCAGCATAGTATAACATAGCATAGCTTAGCATAGCACAGCGCAGCATTACATAACATAGCTTATCATATCATAGCACAACATAGCCTAGCGCAGCATAGCATAGCATAGCATAGTACAGCATAGCATACTATGCCATAGCATATCATAGTATAGCATAGCATAGCATAGCGCATCATAGCATGGCATAGCATAGCATAGCATAGAAACTAATGCTGCTTTCCTATGGGCTCCAACTTCTAGGTAGGGTCGCACTGGGGTAATTAAATTCGCGCGTGCAGATCGGAAAATCTGGTTATTTCTTCCACATTAGTAGATGAGGGCGACGATGGAGGATGGTGGCGACGGCTGGGCAGAAAAAGAGCCAGGCCGCGCAGAGGGAGCAGGACCTGAGCAAGATGCGGAAGGTCGTGTCCCGCAGCGTGGCGGCGGCGCACCTCAGCAGCCTCAAAGACCGCGCGCCCTCTCGGTTCCATTCGTCGTCCTCTTCCTCCTCCTTCCCTCCTCCTCCTCCGCTTCCTCCTCCTCCTCCTCCTCCTCCGCCTCCTCCTCCTCTTCCTCCTCCTCCTCCTCCTCCTCCCCTTCGTCGCCCCCTCCCTCTCGGCAGCCCCCGTCGCCCCCTCGGAGGCCCTCATCGGGCGTCCCCCTCGCGGCACCCCCGTCGCCGGCCTTCGAGGACCGGGCGCTGCAGCACCTGCTCGACGCCGGGGTGTTCGCCGACCCCATGGAGATGGCCGTGGAGACCGCGTTCATGCCGCCGCGGGGGGCTCGTCGTCGAGCGGGAGGAGGGGGGGAGGGGGAAGGGAAGGGAGGATCAGCGGCCAGCAGCAGCAGCAGGAGGCGGAGGGGGGCGTCGTCGTCGCCTTCGTCGTCGGAGTAGGAGGTGGGGGAAGTAGGAGGTGGGGGAAGTAGGAGGCGCAGAAGGAGGAGGAGGAGGAGGAGGAGGAGGAGAAGGAGGAGACGGATGAGGAGGAGAACTGCCAGGGTGCGGGGGATCGGGGAGGGTGGAGGAGGGGTGGGATGAGCAGCAGCAGCAGCGCAGAAAGAGCAGGCGGAGGGTGCGTGGCTATGTGTGTGTCTCCGCCGCCAGATTAGGAAGAGCGGCAGCATAAAGCGCGGGGGAGGAGGATGGGGAGGCGAATGTGGGGAGTACCCATAGGGAGAAGGATACCGTTCGCGAGATATGCGGATGTCTTCAAGGTTCGAAGGTTTTCGGGCCCCGCGGCCGTCTCGTGGGTTCTGGCTGTGCCTTCGGGTTTGTTTGTTCTGCCAGGGGGGCGCCCGTCGCCGCTTTCGTGGCCGCCCCGTGCACTGGCTTGGATCTCTGGCAGCGCACATCGTTTTACACCACAAAGCTTGCGCAACATTGATTGCAGAGCCTAGAGGAGAACGCAGTATAAGAAGAAAAGGGGGGAGAAACAGAGAGAAGGGCGCGCGCGACGACGACGACGACGACGAACCACGAAGACGAACTCTGCCGCGCCGCCGCCTCGCAGCGCTGCGCCCCGCCCTGCGCCAGACAGGTTGCACAACATAGATTATATAAGATTTTTATTAAACCACGTACACAGCACCCCACATATTACACATCCTATGCTTTCACTACTCCGTACCTTGCACCTCGTAGGTTGCACCACAACGCGGATCCTGCAGATTGCGACCCATGCGTTGCACCGCATTTGCTGCATCGCGTCGGTTGCACTGCACACGTTGCACCTCGTTCCCTGAGAAGAGGGAGGACCCTCTTACCCTCTCTGCCCCCTCTGGCTCGCCCGCCCCGGATTCATCCCCCTCCGCATATTGCGCCCTATCTGTTATCGTGCAGTCTCGCTCACCACACATACAAAACACCCGCATGCCTACCAACCTTGGTATTTACCCCCTTTTCATCCCTGCCCTACGCTGTGCACATGCGTTGATGTAGGGATCAAGTAACCCACTGCAACAGGAAGTCCATGCGGGGTCACGCGCGCGCCGCTGCGCGCATGTCACGATTTGTCCAGAACCACGCGTCAGTAAAAAAACAGCGTGTCCCCCAGGCAGTGCACGTAGAGGGTCCTGCACAGCTTAGGTAAGGAGCTGGATGGGTGCGCGGGCGTATCGCGCCGAATGGGCGCCCCGCGCTTGGGAGGCACGCCGACGCCTCGCCCCGCGCCCGCCCGCCGGCGCCTCGGGGGCGCACCGCGCTGCGGGAGCATGCGGGGGTTTCGCTCGGTGCCCGCCCGTGGGCGCCTCGTTGGCGCCCAACGTTGGGGGTACGCTGAGGTTTCGCCCGCTGCCCGCCCGTGGGCGCCTCGTGGGCGCCACGTGCAGCTCACGCCGCACAGCCCACACCACGTATCCTACATCGCGCAGCTTGCACCACATGGCACGCACGACACGTCTTGCACAACCTGCGTCGGATGACGCAGCGCACACCACATCGGTTACATCACATGGCTGCCACCACGCAGCTTACACCACATGGCTGGCTTCACCTAGCTCACATCATATAGTTCACACCACAGAGCTGACCCTTACGAGTGTCACGCCGCAAAGCTTGCAACACACTGCTTTGATCTCCATGTTGCCATAACTCACAATTCGGGATCCACTCTTGCAAACATGGCTGGTCTGTTGTACGCAACATGCCCAGGTTTCTGCACGCGCGATTATGAAGTACCAGCAAGTACGTGGTGCTTCACAGTCCTGTCAAATCACAGCATGCGGCTACCTGCGCGCGCAAGTGGCAAACGTTCACCAATCATCGCGCACCTGCCAACTCTGTGAGACCATACCATGCGGGCCGAGGCCGCGCGTCTCCGCGAGCGCACGCGTAAATCCTTCCCACACGAATGGCGCTCATCGGATTTCGAGACATACGTGGTCAAACACATACGGACACAAAGTCGCTCCGCACATGAAGACCAGCCAGCAAGTCTTAGCAGATGCGCGCGCTCATTTCTTCTTCAGCCTCATCAGCACCATCGTTGACATCATCGCCGGTATCATCATTGCCATCATCACCGCCATAGATGTTGTCGTAGAGGTCGTCGTCAGCTCTGCGCGCGAATGTCCGTCATTCTCACCAGCACCATCGTCGTCATTACCTTTGCCATTTTCATCATTGCCCACGTCAGTATCGTCATCAGTTTAATCACTATCCTCGTCGTCTACATCTGTTCCACCGTCGTTATGAAATCCGCATCGCCATCGTCACCGCCGTCGTGCAGGTAAGTGTTGCGAACAAGTTGCGGGTGTGCGGGTTGGATGTTTGCACCAACGTTGGAAGTGGTCAAGCGCGGATGTGATCAACATTGATTGCAGTATTGCATCATTGAGGTTGAAACAAATTGTTGGCGGGGCATATGTGGCACCCCGCCGGCTGCACCACACATTATGCACAGTATGCTATACTGTGTAGCTTCCACCGCGTAGTTTGCAACACGGAGCTTAGATTGCATACCATGTATTGGTTTACATGCGTTGCGCCATATACGTTGTATTACATACATGTGTATATGGTTATATATGTGTGCCACATGGCATGCACAACATAGCATGCAGCACATTGTCTACACCACATAGCCTGCACCACAACTGTCACGCATCGAGTGGGATTCATGTCCCACAGCTGTTTTCACCAGCTCTCGGTTGTTGTGAGTCAGTCTTGGGTGCAAGTTGAAGGGGGCGAAGACGGGACAGACAAGGAGAGAAGGGGGTATAGAGAAGGACGTGAAGGACAAGGATGAGCACTGGAGGAGGAGGGGGAGGAGGAGGAGGAGGAGAAGGATGAAGATGACAGCAGGGGGGAGGAGGACCAGGACGAGGAGGTGGTGGAGGCCGCAGCTCTTCAAGATGGCTGCGAAGCAGATGGCCAGCATCGTGCAGACGCGGAACCTCTTGGACAGCGTGGCAAGCGAGGCTGGCTTCGCGGGAAGACGGCGCCTTCTTCTCGTTGATCTCCTTCGTCAATCTGCTCCTCCTCCTTCCGCGGCTCTTCGTTTTCATCAGAATTGTCTTGTTCACCATCGTCGTCATCATCATCATCAGCAGCAGCATCATCATCATCATTCCATCATCATCATCATCATCATCATCATCAGCATCATCATCATCATCATCATCATCATCATCATCATCATCACCGTCATGATCGAACCGTCGTCATGGGCATCACCGTTAGTCAGAAGGCTTGCGCCATTCCGCCGGCCCCCAGAAGAGGAGATGTGCTGTTTCCTGTCGTGCTGCTTGCTTGCAGTCGTCGCTGAGTCCTTCTCCTCATGCTCCACGCTCGTTGTGTGGCCTCTTCGGGGCCTCTTGGAGGCATTAGGGTGTTTCTTCCACGGCGTAGTAAAGCTGTTGGAGGCCCTTTGAGGGCCTCTTAAAAGTGTCTTCCTTCTTGGGGACATGTTGAGAGTCTTGGGTGCCATCTTGTGGGCGACCCGACGAGCTTGCCCCTCCCCCCCCCACCATTCAAACGAAATGTTGCACCCCTCGGGAGGGGGAAATGAGGATGGGCTGCAGCCGATCATATCACTCGCCTCTTCACCCCCCGCACGCTCCTGTCGGCGGATGCTGTACGTCCTGGTTCACCTCCTCGTCTCCACAGACGAGGAAGAATGAGAGGATGAGGGAGGGAGGAGGTAAGGGGCAGGAGGGAGCGACGAAAGGATGAGGAATGGGCTGTGGAAGAGGACGTGGGGAAGGACAACGATGACAGAGCGAAGGTGACGATGATGATACTGCTGCTGCTGCTGATGATGATGATGTTGTTGGTGATGATGATGCTGATGATGATGATGCTAATGATGATAATGATGATGATGACGATTATGGTGATGATGGTGGCAAGAAATATGGTGATGGTTACGGTGGTGATGGTGATGGTGATGGTGATGGTGATGATGGTGATGGTGATGTTGATGGTGATTGCGGTGGTGATGATGATGCTGATGGTATTGGTGATGGTGATGGTGATGATGACGATGATGATGATTGTGGTAATGATGATGATGACGATGATGGTGATGATGATGATGATTATGGTGATGATGATGATGACGATGATGGTGATGGTGATGATGATGGTGATGATGATGATGATGATGATGATGATGATGGTGATGGTGATGGTGATGGTGATGGTGATGGTGATGATGATGATGATGATGATGATGATGATGATGATGATGGTGATGATGGTGATGATGATGGTGATGGTGTTTGTGACCGCACACAGGCCGTCGGCGGCAGGCTCGACGCCCACGGCCGCGTCCTGGCCGTCGAGCGCAGGCGCCTTGCGCAGATCGACCAGGCGGAGCGCGAGGCCCCGCCGACGACGAGGGCGACGACGCCGCCGCCGGCGGCGACAGCTTCGGCCGCGACGGTGACGGTGACGGCGGCGGCTGCGAGAGTTTCGACTGAAATTGTTGCGGCGGCGGCGACGACGGTGCGGACCTCGGCGGCGGCGACGGCGGCGATGGCGACGGTTTCGACGGCGGCGGCGACGTTTTCGAGGACAACCGCAGCCAGCACCACGGCCGCCACCACGACGTCGGCGGCGACAACGACCCTGGCGACCACGGCGACAGCGGCGGCGACGGCGGCGACGGCCCCCCGCCGCGAGGCGCGCCAGGAGAAGGCCGAGGAGGCAGCGGCCCGCAGGAAGGACGCGGAGCGAGTCGAGGCGGAGCAGAGCGCCTTGGCCGCCTGGCAGGCCCTCGTCCTCATCCTGTCTTCTGCTGGTGTTCCATCCTCTCCTGCTCCTCCTCTTCCTCCTCACCCTTCCTCCTCGTGCCTCCTCTTCCTTCTCCCGTGTCCAGTCTTGGTTCCGCTCTCCTCCTGCTTCTCCTCTAGGCTGTTTGAACGAACGTGCCGTTCCTTCACCTCCTCCTCCCTCCCTTCTCGCTTCTCCTCCTCCTCCTTTTCCTCCTCCTCCCTCCTCCTCCTCCTCCTCCTCCTCCTCGTTCTCCTCCTGCTCTTCCGTCGTCTCCTCCTACTCCCCCTCCTCCTCCTCCTGGTCCTCCTCCCTCCTGCTTCCTCCCTTTTTTCCGCTGGACAGACCTGAGCGTGAACGCTGTGGCGTTTGCTCCTGACAGTGATTGCGCTTGGGGAGGGGCCCGCCGGAGGTCCCCGGAATTTTCTCCGGGGGAGCTGGGGTCCCTTTGGGGACGTCTCTTTCTCCTCCCCATCCCCTGAGCACTTTCTTGCTGCTTCTCCTCCTGTGGATCTTTCTCTTATTTGGGCGTCACCGCCACGAGTATCCGTCCTCATCATTCTCATCTTGTTCCTCCTTGCTCCCCATCGCTATGATCCGTGTCCTTCTCCTCCTCAGCGTCCGTATCATCCTCCTCTTCCTCATCCTTCTCCCTATCATTTCCAACATCATCAGCATAATCAACTTCATCAGCAGCAGTATCAGCATCGTCATCGCCATCATCATAATCGTCATCAGTATCATCAGCATGTTTACCATCATCATCATCATCATCATCATCATCATCATCATCATCATCATCATCATCATCATCATCATCATCATCATCATCATCATCATCATCATCTTCATCTTCATCTTCATCTTCATCTTCATCATCATCATCATCATCATCATCATCATCATCATCATCATCATCATCATCACCCCCCGAAATGCTTCTCCCCTCCATGAGACCATGCTCCCCCACCTTTGTCTTTGTCGTCACCTTCGCTGATACACAAGACTGTCATCATGACCAGCCCCATCCTCATCATCACCATCATCATCACAGTCATGAGTTCCTCTCTCTCAATTCCTGACCCCCCACGTCGATGTGGTTGTTTGGGCCAGAATCAGACTCGCCCCCTGGCCAAACTGCGCAGTCTGATCTCGTAGCTCGGGAGCGTCGTGAGTATCTCGACGGGTTGCTTCGGCTTGGGGCCCGAGCAGGTGGTGCATCAGTGAGCTCAGGGTCGAGTTGGACGGTGCCTCGCCACTGGTTTGGCTCCTGACTCCTGATTCCTCCTGACCTGAGCGGCCCTTATACGCGCGTGGTGAAACGCAGCACGTGCCGTGTTCAAAACGTCCGAAGTAATGCGCTGCGTGTTGGGTCGGCACGTGTTGTTCCACGTGTTGGCGAACGCGCCGCGCCAGACCTACGTCTTCAGTCTGCGTGCTGAGCTCCGTGCCAACACGCAACCTGCTGCGTGCTGCGTACGGGGGCAGCTAAGCTCCGACTCTCGCCCGCTCTTCCCCGAGCCCGCTGGGAGCCGACTCGGGGACCCAGCCTCGTGGACAGAAAATGGATGGCACTCGTGTATGCTCTTGGGCCTGCCGCGACGGTGCCCTCCCTCACATGCCGCATCCTTCTCTTGCAAACATGTGTTGCAACAGAAACACTCCCCGGTACCCCCGCAACGACTCTTCCCTCCTCACCCCCTCCCCTCCCCCTCTCTCCTCTCCCTTCCCTCTCCCTCCCCGGCAGTGCTCTACTCCGCGCGGTTCGATTGTATAAACGCAGGTTAAATCGCACACCCCCCGGTCGACCAGGGAAATGAGCAGTTGTCGGAAGACCTCGCTCGTATTGAACGTTAGTGTGTGTCGCCCATGCAAAAACCGAGCAACAAGATCATTACCAATACGGAGACCGCACAGGTCCCAGGAAAAATGACCATGGAATCACCCAATTGCTAGGTAGTAGTAGTAGTAGTAGTAGTAGTAGTAGTAGTAGTAGTAGTAGTAGTAGTAGTAGTAGTAGTAGTAGTAGTAGTAGTAGTAGTAGTAGTAGTAGTAGTAGTAGTAGTAGTAGTAGTAGTAGTAGTAGTCGTCGTCGTTGTCGTCGTCGCCTTCGTCTTTGTAGTTGTAGTAGTAGTAGTAGTAGTAGTAGTAGTAGTAGTAGTAGTAGTAGTAGTAGTAGTAGTAGCAGTAGTAGTTGTACTACTACTAGTACTTGTACTAGTACTAGTACTGGTACTAGTACTAGTACTGCTAGTAGTAGTAGAAGTAGAACTAGTAGTAGTAGTAGTAGTAGTAGCAGCAGTAGTAGTAGTAGTAGTAGTAGTAGTAGGAGTAAGAGTAGGAGTAGGAGTAGTAGTAGGAGTGGTAGTAGTAGAAGTAGTAGCAGCAGTAGAAGTAGTAGAAGTAGTAGTAGTAGTTGCTCAATAGTAGTAGTAGTAGTAGTAGTAGTAGTAGTAGTAGCAGCAGTAGCAGCACTAGCTGTAGTATTGGTATTAGTATTATTATCATTATTCGTCGTAGTAGTTATTAAAAGAGTAGTAACAGTAGTAGCAGGAGTAGTAGTAGTAGTAGTAGTCGTAGTAGTAGCCGTTGTTGTAGTAGTAGTAATATGAGTCGGAATAGGAGTAGGAGTAGCAACAGCAGCAGAAATACTATCAATGATACAGTGCGTGGTTGTTTGTGCGCTCGTAAAAATATCAGTGGTAGTGGTGGTGGTAGTAGTAGCAGTAGCAGTAGCAGTAGCAATAGTAGTAGTCGTAGTTGTAGTTGTGGTAGCAGTCGTAGTAGCAGTAGTCGTAAGAGTAGTGAGTCTGCAAATAGCAGTAGCAGCAGTAGCATCAATGAAATTATCCAAATAGGCTTGCCCTGCAGGGGCCCTAGCTCTTCATAGGTTATTGGTCTTTGGGACCCTTTCCCTTCCCTTTTTCCAATGGCCCCCACCCCCTTTTGTTCAATGCCCCCCCCCTTTTTCCAATGGCGCTTCCTTGCTTGCTCTTGCGTGCTTGCTCTCACGTGCTTGCTCTTGCTTGCCCTTGCTTGCTTGAACTTGATCTCTGGCTCTCGCTTGCTTGTTATTGCTCGCTTGCGCTTGCTTGCTTCCGCTTGCTTGCTTGCGCTTGGTTGATTTTGGTCCTCCCGTCCTACTCCCGTCTTGCTCACGTCCTCCTTTCGTCCTCCTCCCATCCTCCTTTCGTCCTCCTGTTCTCCTATCTAGTTGGAGTCACCTCTGGCTGATATGAGTCGCAGTCGTTGGTGCGGTCGTAATTTCAGCAATGCTAGTAGCAATGGTAGAAGTAGTTGTAGTTAGAGTAGTTGTATAGATAGTAGTAGTAGTCGTAGTAGTAGTAGTAGTAGTAGTAATAGTAGTAGTAGTAGTAGTAGTAGTAGTAGTAGTAGTAGTAGTAGTAGTAATAGTCGTAGTAGTCGCAGTAGTCGTAGTAGTCGTAGTAATCGTAGTCGTCGTAGTAATCGTAGTAGTAGTAGGCGTAGTAGTAAAAGCAGGCGCAGTAGTAGTAGTAGTAGTAGTAGTAGTAGTAGTAGTAATAGTAGTAGTAGTAGTAGTAGAAGTAGTATAGTAGAAGTAGTAGTAGTAGCAGTAGTACCAGGAATCGTAGTAGCAGTAGTAGTAGTAGTGGTTATAGTCGTGGCCTTAATAGTAGTCGTCGTAGAAGTAGTAGTGTTAGAAGTAATCGTAGTAGTAGTAGTAGTAGTAGTAGTAGTAGTAGCCGTAGTAGTAGTAGTAGTAGTAGTAGTAGTAGTAGTAGTAGTAGTAGTGGTAGTAGCAGTAGTAGTAGTAGTAGTAGTAGTAGCATATGTAGTAGTAGTAGTAGTAGTAGCAGTAGTAGTAGTAGTAGTAGTAGTAGCACGAATACGAAAAGTAGTAATACCAGTAGTGGTGGTATTAGTAGCAGTAGTAGTAGTAGTAGTAGTAGTAGTAGTAGTAGTAGTAGTAGTAGTAGTAGTAGTAGTAGTGGTAATGGTCGAAGTAGTAGTAGTAGTAGTAGTAGTAGTAGTAGTAGTAGTAGTAGTAGTAGTAGTAGCAGTAGCACTAGATGTACTGCCGAGGAGGAGAGTGGAGTGCCGAAGTGTGCAGAGGAGGAGGGTGGAGCGCCGATATGTGCCGAGATTGTGGAATGCTAAGCAGTGCCGAGGTGTGACGACTCCGGGGAGACCCGAGTGCTGGGCCTCCGGAGGCCCCAAAAGGCCCCAGGGCGTTCTGTTTAGGAGGTCCCCATCAATCAACCAATCAATCAATCCGTGTCTGCACAACACATCGGCTGAGGAAGTGCCGCCGGCTGGAGGCTCATGTGTAGACCAGGGCATCTTAGAGGCATCGTAGAGGTCTCTTAGAGGCATATCAGAGGCCTCATAGATTCCCCAACCAGTGCTTGCACTGAAGGAGTCCTAACGGATTTTGAAAGATTTGGCGAACATTTCCTGCCGACGTTGGTCGCCGGCTGGGTTCCCGGGTTCCCGATTTCGGGTTCCCGGGTTCCCGGGTTCCTGGTTGTTGGTGTTGGGCAGATTTCGGTGGGTTCCGGGTTCTCGGGTTCTTGGTCGATGTCTTTTAACTATATGTTTATCGATCCCACGGTCGAGTTCACGATCGA